GGGGGGGGGGGGGGGGAACCCATCATCGGATGTACATCGATGGATATATTTCGCGTCAGAGAAAACAGAGCCCAAGCTGGAGCTTTATTTCGTTCTCGTTAACAATGTTCCGCTCTATTCTGCCGATATCGAGGACACTTGTTGACGAACGACACAGTACCGGATGTGTATGTATATAATTATATATATTATATATTTGATATATATAATTATATCATTATATCATTATGTATAATTAATACAATAATTAATTAATATACACAGCATGAAAGCAAACTATACAAGTATACTTTACCGAACGAGTAAACTACACTAGTATATTTCACTAAAAATATTGTATTAAAAATTGTAATAATTATAGATAACACATATTTCGTGTATAATTATAAAATTCATATATATATATATATATATTTCCACGAGATTAGGTACCGTACGGAAAAGAACACATCGCCCTCTCCTCGTTCCTCCTCGATCGCCTGATGCGACATTTACCTGAGTTATAAAAGTATTGTGTTGATAGGGGGGGGGGGAGAAAGGAAGAGAGAGGGGGAGAGAGAATACATCGCGGTACGCGGCGCAGAGATCACACGTCCCCGAAATGCACGGTAATACTTTGGTAATACACTGGCGGCGAACAGTTAAGATCGTGCGTGTACGACTGCGGGGAGAGAGAAGCGAAATCCCGCTGTCGGAACAGAAGCGCAGTCGCGAATGCGTAAATATTCGCGACAATATTCACAAGTTCGTAATATGAAGGGAAAAATTCAACGCTGAACGTTCTCGTTACGGAAATAAACTATGAGAATATGAAAAAAAATTATCGCACCATTGTTCTTTAATTAATGTTCCCGTTAGAAAATATTTTATACGTAATCATGCTAAGTTACGTATGAAATTTGTCCATATATAATTATTTAACACTAATTATATATAATTATGTACGATTAGATGCGATTAGATATAATTATCTGATCTACTATTGTTGAAATTTTTTCTCTATGTATGCCGAAAGATCTCAATAGTATACCAGTAATTTTTTCGTATTCTTATAGTTTATTAACAAAATAATTTATAAGTAAAATGATAAAATAAATAATATATATAGTAAAATATGAAAGTGTATAAAACACACGAATAGGAAACTACGAGGGAATTTTGATCACCGAGAAATAAACGTGCGTTTATATGTGTCCTCCGAATGAGTTTCATAACATTTTCAAACTGCTGTCATTTTTACACGTTTCACGATTCTGCTCAGACCACAACCATGACCTTCCTCCTTCTTCTCTCACCGTGACTTTTGACGCAGCTCTCGGAACGCCGTGTGTGTGCGTGTGTATGTGTGTGTGTATGTGTATGTGTTCGCCGCCAGACGCTGTCAACGGAACGTTCGAAGGCGGCTAAAACGTTACTTGCTGCGACCTGCGAGCTTGAGAACTTTTTTTCCTGCCTCACCCCCTTCCGGCAAGTCCCATCTAAAAATCTAGTCCTGTCTCTATTGTGCATCGCGCTGCGCTCGCGAGCTCACTGCGCTCTATATCCTTTTCTTTCTCTGCTTTCCTATCGAGGGAATTCCTCCTACGCGAAGCACACGAAATCGTTCTCTCGTTTCTTGCTTTTCTTCTTCTCTCATTGAACGCTGAATTAACTGAAGGCCTCGCCGTCTCACGGTAAGCGACACTTCTCAACTTCTCGCTCCGTTATCACGCCCGATGCAATCGCAAAATCTGCTCTTTAAGTTATCCAACGGGATGTGATGGGGACATAAATTTAGGACATCGCAGCTCGTGAGAGAGACCGAGGCCGCTTTTACTCAGGTGAGGTTTCCGCCGAGATTTCACGTCGTTGCCGTTACCGAAATTTTCACTCGCTGCGATTTCTTAGTCGCAAGTTATGCGATGTGCAAATTAAAAAAACAAAGGAAAGGAAAACCGTTCGAACGCGAACATCATCTACGTCCTAATTTTCTGTTACTCGTAATTTAACTCGATAAATTCTCACTTCTTTCTTAGATTTACGATAAATTTGCGAACGCACGCACGCACGCGATTCCGTACGATACCTCACTTGAGTAACGGCGCGTTCGTATCCCCGCCAGAGTCGAATAATGCAGCGAGGTACGGTGACGCCGCGCCGTCGGCGTCTCCTCCGATAATCGACGGTGACGGTTTACGATCTCATGTACGGATAATCGTATTCCCGCAGAGGCACGAAGGTCTCCTTGATGGACTGCGGGGACGCCCAGCGGATAGCGTAGTGCGGCCCACCGGCTTTGTCGTTTGTGCCCGACTTCCGACCGCCGCCGAACGGTTGCTGCCCGACCACCGACCCGGTGGACTTGTCGTTCACGTAGAAGTTGCCGGCAGTGTACTTCAGGTCCTCGAGCGCCTTCTTCAACCACTTCCTGTGACACACACGTACAATAAATAAAAATAATTCATATATATATAAGAAGTAATTTATAAATTATATAATAAGTATTTTAAGATACATAATATGAAATACAATACATAGATACAATATATTAAATGAAATTAACATTAGATTGTTAATAATGCGTAAAATTCTTTTAAAATAAATATATATACAGGGTAGATGCAAGATGTCCCATCAAAAGTAAAATATCTCGAAAAGTATTCACCTTTCGATTATCTTATCCCAGTACTTTTATACGTAGAATGAACAGAGAAATCGGTTTACGGTAAAAAATAAAAAAAAAACAAAAAAACTATGCAATCCCGTTGTGAAAAAAAATAAAGTTGACCTTAAAACGACCTTGAATTATTGGCTCCAACGAAGTTAAGATCACCGAAGTATGCCTCCGAACCCTACAACTTTTGTCTGTAACATTTCCTTCTATCTTGCTTGATTTTTTACTTCAATTTAGGCGACTCAATTTAAATGCCGCTGAACTTACTCATCTTGCGCGAATATCGCGCCGGTCAGGGCGTACGGCGTGGACGTCTCCACCAGCTTCATAGTTTCCTCCAGGTCGCAGTCCTTGTAGACGTACACCGTCAGCACTGGGCCGAAGATCTCCTCGACCATGAGCTTCTCCTTCGGGTCTGTGGTCTGTATGATCGTGGGCTGGATGAAATAGCCGCACCTGGAAGAAGACAGCCGACAACAGAATGAGGCGTGCCGTTGCGCGCTAACGATAATCGCGACGAAACGTACGAGTCGTCGTAGTCGCCGCCGCCGATCACCTCCATCTTCGGCGACTTCTTCGCGTACTCGATGTAGCCTACGATTCGTTTGAACGCGATGGCGTCGATCACGGCGCCGGTGAACACAGTGAAGTCGCGAACGTCGCCGACGGTGAGCTTCTCCCGTAACTCCAACAGGCCGTTCTTCACCTGAAACGACGGCCGATCCGTCAGACACGGCCACGACACTCGGCCGAAGACGACTCACCTCGCACCACAGTGACTCTGGCACGTACATCCGGCTGCAGGCGGAGCACTTCTGCCCGCTGTACTCGAACGCGCTCCTGATCGTCCCGTACACCACCGACTCCGTGTCGGCGCTCGAGTGGACGAAGTGGTAGTTCTTGCCGCCGCATTCGCCGATCATCTTCGGGTAGTTCCTGTACTTGTTCAGGTTCTGGCCGACCTGCGTCCAGAGGCGGTTGAACGTCGGCACCGAGCCGGTGAAGTTGAGGGCGGCCAGGTAGGGCGAGGACGTGATGGTGTCGCCGAACACCGGCCCCTCGCAGGGCACGAAGTTCACCACGCCGGGCGGCACGCCCGCCTCCCGGCAGATCTTGAAGATCCACCAGTTGGACAGCAACGCTGTGTCGGACGGCTTCCACAGCACGGCGTTGCCCTGCAATCACAGGGTAAAATGTAAAGCGAACTCACAAATATCTCAGCTCTCAATTGGCCGATATTTGTCTCATAGCACGAGCTGTTGGACGATACTTCAACGTCTCAATTAGATTAATTAATTTCTTAATTACGCGCGAGGGACGGATAGTACTCGAGATAATCGGATGTCGATAACGTTAAGCGGCTGCGAGGAGGGAACCAACACGAACCATCATAGCGGGCGTGTAGCTGAGATTGCCGCCGATGGCGGTGAAGTTGAAGGGCGACACCGCCGCGACGAAGCCGTCCATGCCGCGGTACCTCAACGAGTTGCAGGTATGCTCCGGCGAGATCGGTTGGTATTTGATGCTCTCCTTCGCGAAGTACGCGTGCATCTTGAAGAAGTCGATCAGCTCGGCCGCACTGTCGATCTCCGCTTGAATCACGGTCTTGCTCTGGCCGAGCATGGTGGCGGCGTTCAGCTGTTGCCGGTACTTGGTCGACATGAGCTTCGCTATCCTCAGCCACATCTCAAGCCGCTTCTCGATCGGCGTCTTCTCCCACTCCCGTTGGGCCTTCACGGCGACGTCGATCGCCTTCTTCACCAGCTCCGGCGTCGCCCAGTGGTACTTGGCGATCTTGCACTCGTAGTTGTGCGGCTGCAAAGTCAACGATTACGATCCATTAATCGAGTGTCCAGGCTCTGTTCAGCCTGTTGTCTCTGTACACATCAGATATCGGTAAGAAGGCCGCGATTCAATCGACACGGGTGTCTAGAGACCGTCCGAAGAGGTAAAACGTTCCATGGGTCTCTTCATGACGTCTTTTAGACACCCACGTTGTTGGAGAACACTCTTGAGCTTTCGAACAGGCGAGAACCGTGAGAGTTTCCTCGTGATTATCATCTGTCCCGAGATGTACCGGGGAGAAACACACCGCAAACTATATTTTAACGCCACGACTTACCATGACTTGATACTTGCACAGGTCGGTCTTGATCTCCTCGTTCCCGATCACCAACGGTATCTCCTCGCACTCGTTGCTCATGGTGTCCAAGGCCTTCTCCAACTCCGCCCGCTCCGGGCTGCCCTTCTTGTAGCCGAGAATGGGTTCATTCTTCAACGGGAACTCCGGCGGGCACGGCACCGGCACGATCGATGCCAGACACCTGGTGCCGACTCTGCCGAAGAGAAGATAATGAATTGATACGCGAGACGAAGATTGCACAGCCGCATGTCACCCGAGAGAGTAATATTTATCATTGTTGATATCTATTTCTGCAGAATAACCGGTCGTGATCGTTTAAAACGCTTGGATCGATCTTTTAAAATAACCACCCACTCGAAATGTACATACTTCTCGAGATATTTTACTTTCAATTCTGATACTTTTTTTAGTACAAAATATGAAATATCTCGTAAAGTATTAATTTCTCGATAACATCGTTTAGCACTCTTCTTCACATGTTGAGTGAGAAATGATAATAGAAATGTATAATGTTACTAATAATTGGTATTTATTGGCTTTCACTAAGCTCTAATTCGATCGACGATTAACTCGGCGTAATTGACCAACCGTATTGATCAATTCAGCTAATTGGCCAATTCGATCGGTCACTGGTGGTGAGAGTCACCTTCACGCCCGTTTCAGTCGAGGTTGATTAAACATTAACCCGAGTTAAAATTTTTGTCTCATATTCTGAGCTCTCACTTGTCGATAAAAGTGCTTTAAACATGGCTTCTCAGCCTAAGGTGGTTTCCTAAGTCACTGTTTTTAGAGGCACTTTTACCAATAAAAGCGAGTTCTCAGAAAGCAGGCCTTTGTCTGAAGAGAATTTCAACTCAGGTTTAATCGACGTTGACGGGAACGGGCATTAGTTATTAACCGATTCAATAATTGGCTCTTACTTCATCCCTGTTGCGAGCAAGCTAACGCTACACTGCAGAAGAAATTGTTACGTCCAATTGAATATTTGCTAAGGAGTATCGGAGTAACCTATTTCATCCGGATTAACTAAGTAGCTAATATTTACTTAAACGTAACAATTTTTTTCTTTCTGGCGTACGAAAAGAAAAATAGTGAGCGTCAAATAGATCCACCTAGTATCCGCTATCGTCTCTGACGACGTTCGCCGTCTCTCTACAGGTCTCTCGTTAATTCCCCAGCCCGATAACGAGCAAGATTTATCTATCGGCCCTCAAGAGCGGTCTTCGTTGTAATCTTGTAAATATTTATCCGCCATTCACGGTGAAGTGTCCCGAGTCAACAGTTTTATCGGAAACATCAAATATACATCGGCGAGAGCGAGTTGCTGCGCGCAGGTTGACGTTGCTCTGACGTTGCTCTTAAGAAAATGTTGTCGGTCATTTATTTAATCGCGCGCTCCCGGCGCGAAATATTGTGCGTGGCACGAGATAAGGCGGAGGATCCTGTTGAGGCATCGCGTCCGCCACGCGCCGACGAGAAGAATCATCGCGCGGGGGGATATTTAGATTAAAAGGTGAAATACCGCTCGAATTAATCGACGAATTTCTTGCGCGTGCGAATGTGAAACGAATCGCGACAGGCCGTAAGATGGACGTGCGGGAAAGCCGGCATTACGCATGGCGGTATTACGTAACTCCCCTGCTCCCGGCCTGATCCTCATTAGCGGGATTATCGGCTCTTAATCGACGTGTAAACGATTGTTACGCGTTGTTGTATCAGATGTTAATTGGGTCACCGTGCAGATCGCGATCTCGTAATGCCGCGTAGTGCCTCATGCCAGCCGATTATCCGCGAGATATATCTTTCCCGATCGTTGATCTCGTCGAGTAACCACTTCGAGATACGAATATAATTGCATCGTTAATTGTTAATTTCGTGCTCGCGCGAGAAAGAGCGGCCGCGACCTAAGTGTCTCTCACCAGAGTTTATATTTAATCCAATGTTATATTTAAAATCATCTTGAGACGCCCGCAAGATGCCAGAGTGCTGTTTTGTTGACTAAATATAATAATTGGGTGTCGTGTATTAATGATGCAATATCGTAAAATCGTATTTTAATCGTAATATAGAGAAAAAGGTGGTATTGTTGCTCCCCCATTTATATTTTGTACAACAACTTTGTATATATATATATATATATATATATTATATATATATATATATATATATATATATAATAATCATATAATATTATAATAATTGAATGTTACACACAATATATTTTACTTTTAAATGCAATAAAATATAACATTGGACTATATGTGAATAACGGTTTTAGCTCGATGTAAAGTTCAAGGAAAATCGTTGGTCGTCTGACGAGAACGATCAATTACTTCTTAACAGAGGATTAACGGAAGCTCACCACGGAAACTGGCGATAACACCGGTGGATAACAATTCATCAACGATAGACATAATCTAGTAATATACGGTCGTAAAATTATATTCAACATTACTCACGCTAAGCGACCGATAATGACAGTGACGAAGGATATGTTTTACGTAATAATGTTATAAAAATAAATAATGTTGTAAAAAACGTGGAAGTAAACGTAATATCGCCGAACCGTTATCGCCAGCATTGTCGTCGCTGTAGGAATTGAATCATGCTCGGAACGAGTGCAGTCGTGGAATACATTTGGACAAAACAAGGACAAATCACCTGCGAATATCTAATCGGGCTATCGCCGATAGACATTGATCTCTTCGAAAGAATCACCTTAAAATGACAAAGTCAGCCATTCTGCCAAGGCTTTTACTGACATTGCAGAATGGCTTTGAGGCTCGCGCAACGACTTCGTCGTCGTTGCTTACTCGATTTTCCTTTCGCGATCCCGGAGAGTAGAGACGAGATAACCGTGAACTAGAAAGCGACAGGGGTATCCCTCGTAAAATTGATCGAGAGCATCGACGCGAGCCGAAGGAGGAGAGAGAACCCGTTTGCAGAACGCGCGTCGTCGTCGCGCGACTCTAACCAATCGATGAAGGCTTCCCTTCTCTATTCGTAGCGCATAGCGACATTGCGAGGCAACGGGGAAACCGGCCGTTGTTATCATCATTTCGACCATCCCGGTAAACATCGGGCAACGGCAACATTCCCGAATCGACATGTGCGATAAGTTCAATTTGAATTCCAGTGAAATAATTTATCCCTACTATGCACAAACTGTCCTTAAGTCAAACTAACTAGCACCGACATTTCGACTCGGGTTACGCCAGTGTTATGATTTCTCACTGTTACATATTCACGACTCACACCCCTGTATATGTGTGTATGTATGTTAGCTCTCATCGGCCTTTTTTTTTTTAATTATACATCTAATATAGATTATATTTATAATTTTTCATTCGACATAATGTGAGTGCAATACAATGCATGTCGGGCATAATAACCAGTTACATCGTCGAATGGGAAGTTACAACATCGGCGTAACATTATCGTTATTACCGGACGTTCACTGGAATTACTCCTCGAGTAACGCGGCCACCATGAGGAACAAAATCACGTCGCGATGTGAGATTACGAGTCGGCGCTGATTATTCGTTATTATCAAACTGAACCCGGTCTGCTGATCTGTTCTCCCTCTCTGTCGGTCCGTGAAAAAGCAACGGACCACGGGAAGAGAGGTCGGCCGACCGCAAAACACATTGCGGAATCCAGCTCCGTGGTCGGGCGAGGACAAAGACGCGAGAAAATGCTTGCGTAATCGCCCGGCTTCCGTGTCGATTTTGTTTCTCCCCGTTTCTCCCTCGGTTCTCACCGAACCGGCTCAATTTCGCCCCGTCAATTCTCCCGTCCCATTCCCCCTTCCCCGTCTAGGTCAAGATACAAAAGAACCCATGCAAAAAGCTCTATTCAGCCTCAGACCCCCGAGGTCGATACGAACCCCTTTCGCCTCTCGAGATACTCCCGACGAAACAATTGACAATTTTTTTTCCATCTCGGACGTGTGAATATTCCGACGCACTCTCGTCACCATTGTCTGTTTATAGCACGCGTAAGTCGGTGTAAGATCTTTTTTTGAATAAGATCGAAGCGGTACACTCGAAACTACCCAGCCAACACGACCTTCCGAAAGACGTCCGGAGGAGCGTGAAGAAATTATTTTTACGATCGCACTCATTTGATTTTATTTTAATGTAGTTTTGAAAACCGTTTGGAAAGAAACTCGCAATTTTTTCCAATTTCTCAACAGATCTTTTCGGCTTCTTTCCCATCGCTCCGATCGCGCGTCCCGTTGGAAATTCTATTGATTCAGCTTTTTTTTTTCTATGTACCGTGTTATTCCTGTATTCAGTATTAAATTATTTTCCTCGCAGGATTTGTCACCGAGTACAATGAAGCAGATTCTAATCTACTATGAAAAAGTAGGACGCCTTTAAAATGTTTTCTTTAGAAACTCGTGCTATCTGGCTATCTATTATTTTTTATTTCTCCAATTAACTCACACGTTGCACGGTAAACAACAAACACTCGCGCTTCGAAAGGTCGCATCCGCAAAGAGTTCGAACAATGGGCTTTCACCCGAGAGAGAAAAAGATAATCGACGTTGCCGGCGCGTCCAGTTTTCAAATATACACGAAGAACCGCCCGTCGAGAGAGTTCTCAGAAGGTTTAAAGTGGCAGAAAATTGCGAGTCTGAATGGGAAACCTTTGCGAGTTGGCTCAGATTCGCTTCAAAGTGTCGGGACATCTCGGAGAGCAACAAAATATCACGAGTTCTCGAGAACGAGGTGCAATCGGCGTCATATACATTCGTATCATTCCCCGGAGGGAAAATTGCACGATTTTCAGCCTGATAATAACTCATAAGGGTGAAAATCGCATAACCATAGAGCGTCTTTAACACAAGCTTTCAAAACTATAATTATTATTATTATTAATATACATTAAAATAACTATATAAATTATAATGGTAGAGCAATAATGGCTATAATTGCAACAATTTTGATCTTGCGTGCAAATGTGTGAGGCCGAAAATCGTGTAATTTTTTACCCAGGGGGTGATACAGCATGTGCGACGTCGACCTTACGCAAGAACCGGCGCGTTCGATAGGTCAACGACGGTGCAAACCGACCGACGCTCGCCCGCGTTTCGATTAACATTTTAACGGCCGCTCACACAACATGCGTGTGATAGCCTGAACAACTGTTACTGTCCGCTCACACAACATGTATGATACTACCGCCGAAGAAAATATTGCCGGCCCCTGGCGACATTTGACTGCGTAGATGTGCGGCCGTTAAAGTGTTGATAAGAAAAAAAAAGGGAGGGAAACAAAAAAATCGTAGCAAACAACGGCAGCCGGACGAGATCGAAAGCAAGACACTCCGTCAAGCCGATCAGCCGAGGCGGGTTGGGTTACATCACGACCTCATGACATCATCGCGCTCGGAGACGCCACGTAAAAGCCGGGCTTCTTTTTCCCCGATATTATTTCGGCTGGCACGACGAAAGATACTGCCGACGACGACACGTTACGAGAACCGGTCAAATTGCATCACGAGGAGCCCGAATTTGCGGACCTTTCGCGAAGCACGAGTAAACAAACACAGGACGAGTGGCCCAGGCAGGGCGAAAAATCATGACGACGTCGAGCTAACGAGAATGTGACGACCATGGGAACTCGTTTTTTTTTTTTTTTTTTTGAGAAGTCCAGAAGGAATATAAATTTTTGTGAAATATATCCAAGTCTTCTTATTAATTGGTTTATTCGCTAAGAATGAAATTTTACCTCGACGTATTGAAATAAACGTTGATTTCTGTGAAACAAACCTCATATTTCACAAATCCATTTTTAAGCTTTTTTTTTCTCAATGTAATCACAACGCAATGTACCAAAATATGTCTATCTGGGACGATTCGACCATTCTCTCACTGTTCTGAAAAAAGGATTCGGTAATCACCAAGATTTGATCAAAACAGTTTCAGCAAAACTTTTTCGTTACTGCTACCAAATCATTTAATATACTACCACTATATTTATAGTACCATATATTATACACAGTGTGTGATCCTAAAATGATTTACAATAACCAAAGAATTGAGTTAAAACCATTTTAACCAAAGCTCGTGCTCTGAACTCTTGTCGACGAAAGTGCCTTTAAAAGTGGCTCGGGAATCGTATGATTGAGTGTGACAAACCACACTTGAAGCACTTTTATCGATAAGAAAAATTCCGAATACGGGCTTGGACTACTTGATCGTCACCGAATCCATTTTTCGACGCATTCCCGAATTCCCGCTCCATCTGGCGCGCCAAGCGAGACAGAGAGTCACGATGACCTCGAAACGACCGTAAAAGCTCATCCTCGCCCACGAATCGTCACTCTCTGGCTTCGATGCGATCACGAGATTTCCCGTCCTTCCCATCTGGGCTCTGTTCGTTCGCCACGCGTCGCCGGACGATGACGATCGTGACAACGTCGGCGATGCGTACCGGGGAACGCAGCTACCACGACGACGAAGAGCGTATCGAGCAGCGGCGTTGAGCGACATGGTCCGCGGAGCCGCGACTCTCTTTTCGTTCGCGAAACACGAGAGAGAAAGGAGATCCGGACGCGAAATCCGTCGCCGTTGAAGGCGAGAGTCGCGCGCGCGGTGCCATATGATCGATATCGTCGCCCGGACGACAACGTCGTCGGCCGGAAGAGTCGACCGGCGGAGAAGAGGAGAGGTGGCCGAAAACGAACGTCGCGCTGCTTCGGCACGGCGTGTCGCGCGTCGTGTCCCCCGGACACTTACTCACTTTTGGGTGCTCGCCAGCAGATTCGCCTGACGGCAAACCAGGCCCAACATCTTTCGACGACGGGAACGTGTTGCGGGACGTGACGGAGACAGACGACGGGCGGTTAGGCAAAAACAAAAAGAGAGAGACAGACTGACAGACGACAGAGGTAGAGACAGAGATGACAGAGAGACTCGGTGGTAAAGGATGTCGTCGGCGACGACCCTTCGGGGCTTCTGCCGCGCGATCCGCAGATTCGGCTGGCTGACACCGGGGTTCGCCTCGCACGGGGCAGGACACTGTTGTGCTGTAATCCGCCACCAGGTTCGACCTCGATTCCCGCTTTCTCGCTCTCTCTCTCTCTCCCTCTTTCTCGGGCGTTCACGCACTCACGGCCTCCGCACGATGCTGCGGATTGCCGAAACTGCGAAACACGGGCCGATGCCGACCGCCGTACCCGTTCTCGCGTCGGCTGAATGCTCACGAGTCGCGCGCCGCGCGCTCCCATGCTTCCCCACCTTGCGCGGAAACGCCCAGGGACGTAGCTAGTCGGGAGCGCGGCTACCTGGCCGACCATGCGCGGACCGCCGATGAGAAGAGAGCTTCCTCGCGTCCGCCGTGCGGAATTTTTAGTTGAAAAATGACACCACGCGTCACCTCTTCGCACACGATCCTGCGAAGAGAATTTATTCGTTACTGGTGAGTAACGCGCGCATCCTCCTGAAACGTTGGAGACAGAGAAATGCGACTTTTAATTAGAGCTCTGTAATTAGAAATGTGATTTGTTACTCTTCAGTTGGAGCATTAAATGAGCTTCTCAAGAATTTTTCAGAATTTCGAAACTTGCACCGTGTATAGATTTAAATATGACGTAATATGACGTAATATATAACTTTATATATTTATATATAACCATATATAAACTTATCTATATATATTTATACATATTGGAAACGTCTTGGAACGTAATCTTGTTTGATAAATATTAAATTTATCAGTGGCTCCCTTGATGCGCCACTGAAAATACGGCACTGTACAACTACCTCGAGTAGCAAAATAATTAATACAATGCAATGGGTAAGAAAAGAGGAGAGTGAGAGCTTTTGAATAAAGCTCTGTAATTAAATGCTGATTTTGATCTTTAACAACAAAATAATTAAGACAATGCGGTGGATGAAGAAAATATGCGAGCTCACAATTCAATGTCCGTAATTAGAAATTGACCTCTTATTCTTGAGTAACAAATTAATTAATACGATGCAACGGATAAAGAAAAGGGACAGCGAAAGCTTGTAATTGAAGCTCTGTAATTATGAGTCGATTTGTTAATCTCGAATAATAAAATAATTAAGACGATGCAGCGGATAAAGGAAGCGTTCGCACGGCCCTAGCATCTCTCTCTTTCTCTCGTTCCCAGAACAATTTTAAAAATCGCTGAAAAGCGTCCCGTTCAGCACACAGTGAGAGAGAAAACGGCACACTTTTTCGCGTAAATTATTTTCAACGGTGTCGTCAGGTGTGCCAGGAACGCCTCCGTTACACGCTGCACCCGCGAATCTCTCGATTCGGACCTCTCCTCTTCATCGGTATGCAAGTTTATTGTTTCAAGCCGTGTCTCTTGAAAATGTCAATTCATCGTTTCAAGCATTACTTGTCTGTACACAATTCGCTTGTACTCGGTCGCGGGAGCGCTCTTTCCAGACCGTCGGAGACAATTTGTGCGACACGGGGGAGGGGGGGGGATGGAGGGCATCAAATTGATATCGTATCAGGCGCCCTCGCCTCGCATCCATTACGACGGTATAAAACGATTCGCCCGCGGCCGGATTAGTCTAATCGAAATCAATGACGGTCGACCGGCCAACGCAAACGTATGTACAACATTATCCTCCCACACGGCGTATTCGTGTGTGTATATGTGTGTGTTTATATGTATGGAAAGAACCGGTGGGAGGACTCGCTCTCCTCCGAGACTGTCGATTGCCGTCGACCATCCTTTCGCGAGAGCGGTCTAATTATATTTCATTTTTCCCCTCGTCGGGAAGCCTCTCGTCGGCCAAGCCGAGCCGTTGGAATGCCTGACGCGCTCCTCGACTCGTTGCAATAATATCTACACACCGGATACAGTATCGCAGCGGAACAGCAACCGAAATGTCGAACGCGAAATATGAATGCCGGATCGACCGTAACAGGGGATCGTTACGCAATCGAGAGCTCTCACTGACGGCGCACGTCAGCGGGCGGAATGTCTCTCCACCGTTCGAGACGGAAGCCAAAATCGCCAACGGGAAGTCACGTTACGCCACTTGCCTTCTCCGAGCGTTCACTTGGAAGATCGGAACGAGAGAGAGCGGAGGATGAAGTTGTAATGTGTAAACGAGTGAACGCTAAACGCATGTGTGTCAATAGCGATTGACAGCGGGAACTCGTCTTGAATCAGTCGAATCTAATCGGATCGATCGTTTGAAATTCGTCTCAGATACTCGCGAGATACTCAGGTTTTCAATTCCAAGTTAGATCCGAGCTTTCCAGTTGAATCGTATGCTTATCATTAAAATGTCGCTTTGCATCGCACTCTTCTTCATCTTTCTTTTCAGGTGAAACTTTCACATCTAACTCGGAATTCAAATTCGAGTATCTCATCGGAAACAAGTAATTCAAGTAACAATCATTAATATCAGTCTAACTTCCGGCCCGCGTACTTCACATGAGGCGAGTTTCCAGCATTAGTATAGGCTTAAGAGACCGCGATGGAGATGTAAAATAGCATAAAGATACACCTAATTTACAGCATAAAAGCGGAAAGATAGAAAACAAAGTACGCGTTACATAATCATCGGTAATTATGATGTAAGTAATTTTCAAGTGTACAGCCGAGCAGGGGCATCGGCTAACGCGTGCGTCGTCGAAGCGTATCGAAGCGTTGCTTCAATGAGCGACGGTGTGCAGAGAGAATCGATTTACATATTAACGCGAACGACGAGGCGTTCAGCTTCAACGCGAGCTGTGCCTCTCGTCAAACACGCTTGTCAACGTTCTGAGGCGTCGCGTACATGCCGTGCTCGCCACGCGTCGTTATCCTTTCTAATGCGCGAAGTACAATGAATTGCAATAGGAAAAGAAAAGGAGAGACGTCGCCAGTCGGTGTGTGTCTTGCAATAAAGCTCGCTGACGCTCGTCGGACGGAACGGCTGAGATGCATTATGTAAAAGGTGGATCTATTTTCGCGCGGAGTGTCGCGTCGCCGTGATGTGTGCGCAGATATATATTAGGAGAGCGCAAAAGTTTCGATTCTTTGGGACTATGCGAAAATAAAGCAGGCAGCACTTGCGAGAGAAAGACCGAGGCTCTTGCGTGCACCTGATACCACTCTCTCACGAATTTGTGAGACGAATATGTTAACGACGCCTCAAGATGAGGATTTAAGCCGTGAGAATTTGACTAATCACAGTCAAATGTGAGAAGAATAATCGATTGGGATCAATTTCCTACGGCTTGAGGCTCTTATATCTTAAATTCTTATTGTAGACATCGCTTTAAGCGTGTATACAAGTTTTAGGTCCGTATTTGCTTTTATCGATAAAAGTGCTTTAAACGCGGCTTCTTGGCCAATCAGGTTCCTTAGCCACTGTTAGAGGCACTTTCGCCGATAAGAGAAAATTCAAGATACAAAGCCTTAGTCCTTTTTTCGCAGGCTTTCGCCTTATTTTCATACAGACAAAAAGAGAACCTTTGCACACATATCATATATTTGTATGTTGTGTGTCAGGATTGGGTAAAGTAACTTAAAAGTTAATTATGAGACTATACATATATAAATCTAACTATTCTTCTTCTAAACTATATGTATTGTGTGTGTGTGTGTGTGTGTGTGTGTGTGTGTGTGTGTGCGTGCGTGCGTGCGTGCGTGCGTGCGTGCGTGCGTGCGTGCGTGCGTGCGTGCGTGCGTGCGTGCGTGCGTGCGTGTGTGTGTGTGTGTGGCGCGTGCGTGCGTTAGTTTCGCATAATTCAATTTTAATTTTAATAAGTTAATTTTAATTCAACTTTTAATTAGTTAATTTTTGTTTAGGTTAATGTTTACTTAACTAAATTAATTGTATAAGCCATTGCCAAGCCTCTAACTTAACTTCAAAAAAGAAGTTAGTTTACCCTATTACATATGTATACATATATGTACATATATGTGACTATGTACATACAAATATATCAGGTGTATGTAAAAGATTTTGTGTTGCTGTGCGAGTTTTCGCTTTATCTTCTATATATATATATGCGCTGGATGGATGGATGGATACCGCGAGTTTCCGTGAGAAACGGAACTCCTACGTCCTCGGATCACCAGGAACGTTCTCGCTCCGAGCTCGTCGTCCGTCGGACTCACGTCGATACATGCACCGATAGTCGATCCTTCCGCGAGTAGGATCATCTGCGCTGTTGAGTCGCGCGAAGGACCCAACGAGCTCTTTTTCAACAGGCACAATAATTTCCTCCGACGGAACGGATTCCTAATTTTCCTCCTGTTGCATCTGTAGTTCGCGTAACAACTGCGCTCGCTGCTTCTCTAATTCATCCTCGGAGAGTTCGTGATGCTCATTGGTCTCGGTGACGGAGCCTTCGCTGTGGACTGACGCCCGTCTGTGCTTCTCGTCCTTCCGCTTCCTCTCCGGCGACTCCTCCGAAGACGGAAGTCGTGAATGCGAGCGCTGCCGAAAAGAAACGGGCGTTTGGTGAATTTAAGGATCCAGATCGGCGAACCCTCCGCGATTCTCGTGGTGAAGGACTCCGAGTCGAAGTAGAAATTGAAACGCCTGGTCTAAGTATTTGGCGAATTTCGTGCCAGTTTGATTAAGTAGGTTTTAACTTTAAATGCCGTATTTTTAGTGGCGCATCAAGGGAGCTTTATAAATTTACTATTTATCAAGCAAATAAAAAATAATATTTTCGTGTTTGTAAAAAATGTATATTTTATACATACATATATATATTAAATATTATTATAAATTATAAGCTTTCTACCACTATATTTTCGAAACGAAACGATAATTCTGAAATTTCTTTACAATTAAATAAAAAATTTAAACAATATTTATAATCCGGAAATTCTATTGAAGCTCAGGCATTTTTGACTGCAAGGGAAATGGACTGCAAGCTATATTATCGTATTGTTCACAGGCAAATATTGTGTAGTTAACTGAATTTTGTTTAATATTTTCTTCATTAAAAACCATAGTGAAAAATAGCTCTGGATTAGTCTTTAATATTACGGTAATTTTTCAAACTTTCATCTTATATACAAATATGCCAAATATTTTTTTCAAAAGAAGAAATTTAATGCTAATGAGGTTGCTTGCTTGCGTAAAAATATATAATTAGTTACAAGTTCATAATTAAATATCTCGGGAACGATACGATGAAGATTAGTGAAGTTTCCTTTACACACTGTTAATTCAATTAACTTTCGTATCATGTACATATTACGGATTTATCTTATGTTTGGCCAAATGCTAGAATCTCCTTAAGTGACGTCATGTGTCATTAATACTTACAGAATGACTACGGCCTCGCTTCTTCTTGTTCTTCTTCCTCTTGGACTTCCTCGTCTCTGACTCGGAACTGTCGGATTTACTTGGGATGCTGGGCGAGCGCGACTTGTGTCGCTTCTTCCTCAGACCTTTCTCACTGCTTTCCGATTCCTGTTCGACGGAAACACACAGACGTTACGTGAATGTTCGAAGCGACGACTATTGGTCGCAATCAATGCAACTTCCGTTTGATAAATGCTTCCTCTGCTCTGATATCTCGAATACTTTCAAGGTGGCCACGGTTATATATTCACCTTTTGTATCAGCGCGAAAAATGGCCGTACCAGGCGATACTCACGCTGTGTGACCGCGACCGCGACTTGCGCTTCAACTTCTTCGCCTTCTTCTTCTTGCTCCTGATATGGTGGTGGCTGCAGCTCTCCTCGAGCTCGTGCTGGTACTCCTTGAATATTCGTATCCGCTCGCTCTCCAACGTGATCGCCTTGAAGTCTTGCTCCTCCTCGATCTTGGGCCTCACGTCTTCCCACGTCATTTGGTAGTCCACGTTGAGCGTCTTCAGCAGACTCTTGAAGCCAGTCTCCAGCCTTTTGAACTTCCTCGTCTCCTCTTTCACGCGTTCCTTCTCACGCGCCTCGGCCTTCTCGAGCAGCAGATTGTACGTCAGCTTCACGTTACCTGCGTCCAAGGTGGCCGACTTCCTGTCCTCGCACACGACCGTGGCGAACTCCTCGAAGGTCGTGTTCACCTGCACCTCGAAGTTCTTGTCCTTCAGTATCTCGCGGATGATCTTCTTCTCGTCGTGAAAGCGCGACTTCAGGTCCTCCACGTAGAACTTGAAGAGGTCCAAAGGAGTCGAGCCTGACTGGCCAAGCATAGCTGAGAACCTGAGATCAGCGGACAGCATGGGGTACAACTCCACCCACAGCGACATCGACGTGAGCTTGCCCTGCTCGTGGAGCTCGTCGAGTAAATACTGAAACACACGGCAATTAGAGACACGAAGATAAAGAAAAGATCCCGCGCCGGACGCGTTGATTACTCACGATGAAAGCGTCCCGGTTCTTCCTCTCCTGCCGTTTTCTGCGCTTCTTCTCGCGCTCCCTTTCCTCCTCCTCGTCCTTCTCCAACTGGCGAATGTGGTTCTCGAACACCAACAGGGCGTCTTCCTTGTCCATCTCCAGCAGGTCCGCGTCCTCGGCGAACGCGGAGTGCTGCAGCAGTAATGCCTGCGCCTCTTGCCACGTGGTGCGGTAAGTCACGTCGGTCATGGTGTCCAAGACCTGGGCCAGCCGTTTGGTGTTCCTCTTCTTCAGTTGCTTCGCCTCCTCCTTCTCGCGCTTCGCCAGATTGAAGATCACGTCCTCGTAGATGTCCCGGCGATCTGAGTCGCCGACCGCTCGCCAGACCTCCAGATTGCCGAACATCTCCTCGCACTTGTAATACTTGGTCGTGCTCATCATCTTCTCGTTCTCCAACAAGAACTGCTCCAGATCCTCCTTAGCCTTTTTCAGTCTGTGAAAGAGGAAGAGAGATGAGCAATGTGTCGGGTTTTATACGACGACGAGTTTAACGAGACTCACCTGAGTCTCTCTTGCTCGCGTTCCTCCTTCAGCTTCTGCGTTTTGTACGAGTTGAACGCCTGTTTACGCTCGTTCAGCTTCTTCATCTGCGGATACCTGGGGTCGTTTTGAATCAACTTTACCGCCTGCTCCCAGGTGGCGTTCGACGGCACGTCCCGCTCCCTCAGCAGTTCCTTGAACGCCTCGACCGCCTCCTTCTTGTCCTTGAACTGCATCTTCGGTTCAGGCGTGCTGGTACGGCTGTCGTTGGCCGAGCCCTTCGCAGAGTTGCTGTCCTCGTCCGGCTTCGCCGGTGGCGTCGGGATGTTGATAGCAGCGAGAGTGGCTGCCATCGCCTGCTCGATCGCGGACTTTCCGCCCGGCTCTGGTGTGCTAGTCTGCGATATCGTCGAGACATTCGGCGACATATGTTGCATCCCAACGGACGACATGTTGCTGAAAGCGTAGAAGAGCCGTTAGGCAAGCTTACAAGATCCTCAAGAAAATAGAGCCTACTATGGTTTTTGTAAAAGAAATATATAAATTATACATTTTATTTATTATGAATCCATCTGCCTTCGGCTTTGGATAGCTTCCGGCTTGATATATTTACCTCTTCGCTTAAAATTTTACATTTGCGAAATCCGCTCAATCTCACTACCTTCTGTCCCTAAATAAAATTACACTTTCCTGTCTGATCTTTGTACTTCCAATTCAACTTCTCCGTGTCGCCGCTAATTTATACTTGCACAACATAACGAGACCGACCATGGTCTGTTCTTTTTAGCTGATTTTTTTCTTTTTAGTAATTGACGCACACTGGAATGTGAGAATCTCGCACGTACGCTTCATGCGCTTTCAACGTGTATACACATTTCTAGTCTAAGAAATTTACATACACACTGAAATGTATATACAAGATTACCACGCTTCGGCGTGTGTAAATTTTCCGAGCTAGCGCAGCCAGCTCAGCTAAAAGAAACGAACAGGAAAATACAGTTTACTTCACTCTCTGACTTACTACACCACTTCAGGAAGTTCTTCAAAAAGGGGGAGGAGCAGACCTTCTACAGTTCTAAAACAGGTCTTTTCGTATTCCCACGAAAGAGAGAAAGAGTAAAGGAAAAAAAAAAAAATAAACAAAAAAAGAGAGCTGCGATCTCTCCGTCTCGCCGAGATTTACTCACGAATTCGTGGCGCTGGCGACGACGGCCGCAGCGGCGGCGGCGGCCTCCTCGGCCAGGATCCGCGTCTTGAGTTCCTCCAGTTCCGGCGGGATCGTCCACCTGGACTCCTTGCTGGTCACGTTGTGATAATACACCTTGCCGTTCTCCAGCTTGTACTCCTTCCACGGGCACTGCGACAGCAGCAGCTCGCTCGCGGTCTTCAGCTCGTCCGGCTTCTCCCACAGCGACTGCTTCGTCACGCTGTTGTAATAATAGGTCCTGCCGTCAGGCGCTTTGTGCTCCGACCAGTCGGTCTTTTTCTCAGTCGTCGGCGCGGACATCGTCGTCGCGGGCTCGCTGCTGCCGCCGCTGCTGCTGATGGGCGAGGGTGGAGGCATCCCCGGCCCCGTTATCTGCGGCGACGCGGCTGTAAGAGAGAAGAACGAACGAAGAGTGATCACTCGGGCGATCAGTGCGGTCGCTGATGCGGTGTGCTTGACAGGTACACTTAGCCATGGATATTAACCTATGACTCCAGCCTCTGGAGGAGGTGCCGCGGTGATAGGGAAGGTAAAACCTGGCGGAGGTATGGAAAACTGAGGCGGCATTATGCCCGGAGGACCCGGCGGTAAACTAGGAGGGGGAATGAAGGGTGCCGCGGGCATAATGGGTGGCACAAAGCTAGATGCGAGGTTCGGCGTGGCCGATGGAAATCCTGTCACGGCGGCGGGTGGCGGGATACCGTCGTTCGAGGCCTGGTAATAACGTGGAACGCAACAATGGTCAGTCAGTGTGTGAAGTGGTGGCTCGGAAGCGAGCTTGAGAAGCGACGCGCCAATGTAACCTCGTGACCCCCGCGTCCAGCTCGGAGAGGAAGAAAGAGAGAGCTGGAAAGGACGGTCCTCTTGATCCTCGCAAGTTTCAGCCCGGATCTATACTATAGGCGAGCCTTCAGTCTGGGTCTACGATAGGTGTGGTAAGCTCTTAGCCTTTTGCTCTCTCGGTGTTGCAACGGATATACTATCATTGAGGGAGCATTTCGACGCTTCCTCGAGAAACAGGCGAGATTCAAGCAGCTGCAGCTAACTCGTCGAAAGTGACCGAGATCGAAAGCCAAAGAGATGATTTTAAAGATCGAAGTCCCTATCGTAGATCCAGGCTTACCTATGCGGTAAACAAAACGAGGACGAAGAGGAGCCCCGGTCAGACACTCTGCGTGCTCTCCGAGTGGCGCGAATTGTTAAATTATCATCGTCGCTGCATTAAAGGATCGCTTCGAAGCGGAGAAATTAATAATCTCCAAGAGTCCACAGCGTCCTCGACTGAGACGGACTCGAGTCTTTCCGAAAAGAGGGGCTGAGATCCCGATCGAATTCGTCTTCGCGACCGAACGTGTGTCCGGGTCGTTCTTGTTTTACCGACGAAGTTCTCCCCGTCGTGCCTTCGAGACCTCCGAAACTCCCGGTAGGATGGCACTTGGCTGGAAGGTTAAGTTAGGTTAAAATCGCGTCTCGGAAAATCGGTGCGATCTCGGCGTGAACCTGGCGGGCAGCACCTCCTCCGGGCAGACGCGGGCAGTCGTGGGCGAACGGAATTCGATCGGTTTCTGGGACGACCCGGATGACCCGGACGCATCTCAGTCGGGGACGTGGTCTTGGAGAAAGAAAGAGAGAGAGAGAGATGTTACATCAAAATTACAGACGGCGCTTATAGATTATTAACGCTCGATCTACATGCCATTTGTATAGAGAAAACTCGCCGAGTGGGAACTCTGCCAAACGAAATTTGAGCACACACGAGAGAGATCGGCACGCCGATCACGATTCTATCGCTCGTAAACACGGTCCGATCCGCGACTCATAACCCGCGCGCGCCCCGTCAACGCTTACTCCAGCTCACTCGCGAACGCACTGAGGCGGCGCTCGAACGTTCGCCTCGTAATGGAAGCGACTAAACACCCGGTCGGTAACGCAGATATCTGCGCTACCCGGGGACACGGGTTGAGTTCGGGAGTCTTATGGAGTCTCTATGGATTCTTCCAGGACTGGGTAGCAACTAGTTACTCATACGAGTTAATTTTAACTTGGATAAAAATAAAAATTATCTCATCCAACCCTGGATTTATCCAATTAAAAATATGCACCAATTAGCCCAATCACTGATCGCCGAAGTATTGCGTTAATCATTAATCGCTTTGCTCCCCTGATTGCAAGTACAATTTGAACTGCGCTTGATTTTTCTTTTTTTAGAGAATCAAACTCATCGAAGACAGAATATTAAGACAATATTTGGTTATTATTTAACAATTACATGTCGGCAGTAAGCGGTCAAATTTGTTCGCAGATTCGTCTAATATTCTGGTAATGTAGCTAATTAACGATACAATAGCGACAGACCTTACTTCTCTAACGAGTACTCGCTAATCGAAGAATGATACAGAGGCGCTGCCTGCAAGGTTTGCGAGTTGGCGTTTTCGATTCGCACGACGACGTAATCGCCGGCCTGTATCTCCCTCGTCGAGTTCGAATGTCGATTGATCGGTATGACCGCCGGTGGTAGCAAGACCCTCACGTTACCGTCGTTCCTGCTCTGCAGATTCTTAATATTCCTGCTTTCCTGTCGGTAGAAAATATTTCGCTGTGAAGTCCATTTTTTCACTATTCATCATTATAAAAAAAAAAGAAAAAAACAAAAAAAAATAAACAGTAACAGAAGCATAATGTAAAAATTAGAACTTGTAGAAATTATTAGAATTAATGTTATTTAAAGACAATTACACTTTCACCATTCATTATTATTGTTATTATGAAGCAATATTAATTAATGTAAAGAATCAGAATTTCTAAAACCTATTGGAAATAATAACAGCAATAGTAATAAAAGTGTATAATTATTAAGAAGAATGTTTACGCCTTCCACGAGAACGAGTTGATGCTGTCCGATCTGCGCTTTGTTTAATTTCTCCATCTCTCTTCTGTGCAATGTTATCATGCGAGTCAGACGTTCCGCCTTCACGTGCGACTCAACGTCGTCCTTGTATCGCCGGTGGGCCGTAGTTTTCTGGGAGAGGGAAAAGAAAAAGGAAGTTCGTGCTAAGTCACACGTGAAATTTGTTAAAATACGTTGAATTTGGTGTGAACACGCGAGAGAGAGAGAGAGAGAGAGAGAGAGAGAGAAAGAGAAAAAAAAATGTACCTCGCGCATGCTGTAGGCGAACAGAAAGGCGGAATTGTACTTGACTTGATCTATCAGCGACAACGTGTCCTGAAATTCCTCCTCGGTCTCGCCGCAGAAGCCGGCGATGAAGTCGCTGGAGAGGTAGACGTTGGGTAGAATGTCGCGTATGTTGTGCACCAGGTCCAGATACGCTTCCCTGGTGTAACCCCGTCGCATCCTGTCCAAGACCACGGAGTTGCCGCTCTGGGCGGGCAAGTGAATCTGCTTGCAGATGTTCGGCCTCTCGGCGATCAGGTGCAGCACCTCGTTGGGGAAATCCTTGGGATGCGGCGATGTGAATCTACAAATGCAACAGTTTCAGTCATTATTCTGGGCAATCGTTTAACATTGGGAGCCTAAATACATGAACACTTGACGATATAATATGTGCTGAGAAATATGAGAATGAAAAGTAAAATATCTCGAAAAGTATCCTCTCTTCGACGACCTTACCCTGGTACTTTTATATACAGAATGAACAGAGAAATCGATCTGCGTTGGAAAAACTACACGATTCCTTTGAAGAAAATGAAGTTGACCTTGAAATGACCTTGAATTATTGACTATAGGCGATGTTAACGTGACCAACTTGAACCCTCCTCCAAGCTCTACAACTTTTGTCCGAAACATTTCTCAATTTGCTTAATTTTCCATAGAAATTTAAGCTTCTAAAGTGACTTATTCTGTGTATAGCGCGATAATCAACGTGCACACCTGATTCTCATCTCCGGATCGACCAAGGAGACCTTGTCCAGGAGATCACAGAACCTCAAGCCGCCCTTCTTATTTTTGTAGACCGTCTTGAAGCCCTTGGCAAGGTGAGTCTCGGTGCCGGCGGGTACGACGAATTCCGAGTGAGACAAATCCCTGTAGCTGTTCACGTTCTGCCCCAACAGAGTGACGTCCTTTACACCTTGATCCGACAAATGTCGCACCTCGTCGAGTATACTCGAGATCGGCCGAGATCTCTCTCGACCTCTTGTGAATGGCACGATACAGTAAGTGCACATGTTGTCGCAACCTCTCATTATGGAACTGCGAATCACAAGTGCGCGGTCACATAAAAGTTCCTTTGATTAAATCTATTTATAAACACACATTTAAAAATGTTAATAAAAAATATATATAATATATATAATAAGAAATATAATAAGATACAGCACACACACACACACACACACACACACACACACACATAATAACACATTATTGATAAAAATCATATATATATAATGTTTTATCCATAATATATACAATGTATGTATATATATATTACACATATGCTCCAATAGAGTCCTGGTTGAGCCTGACTGGCGTGACGTCCGCGTATGTCTCATCAAAGGACAGCACAACATTGATAGCTGTTTCGCTGTCTGTCACCGCTAAGAGTCTCGGTAAATCCTTGTAACTATCAGGGCCTGCTATCACATCCACGAGCTTCCCCTTATCTAATATTTTGGCCTTCAAACGTTCGGCCATACATCCTGGTGCAAGAAAGAATTTGAACTCACAGGAATCAAGGATTCGATTGAGAGCAAGTGTCTCGTTAGTAAAACCCACCTAGGAGGCCAATCTTCATAGGCGCACCAGATTTCTTCTTCTTCTTCTTCCTAATGCTATTCAAGTGGTCGAGTTTGTTCCATACCTTCTGCTCAGCATTGTCTCTGATGGAACAGGTAACGAGCAATATGATATCAGCGTCTTCTATGTCATTTGTGTGTCGGTAGCCACGGGCTTTCAGTATCGACCATATTATCTCTGTGTCGTTCACATTCATCTGGCAACCATAAATTTCAAAGTATACTGAAAAAGAAAACAAGACAATAACAGTTGTAAAGCATAAAAATTTAATCAACTATGTATATCACATACACACAAACACATATACACGAATATCTAGAATACCTTTTTGATTTTCTCCACGAATGTCCTGCACATATGGAATAGGCTCTTCAGTAACAGGAATATCGATACTGGATGGCTCTATGAAATGCCTCAACGAAGGTCCGTCTCTGATTAAATTTCTTGTTGGTCTTTGGTCAACAGAAGCTCTTTCTGTCACACTTGTATTAGTCGTAGCAGCATGTGGAAGCATAAAAGTTCTGTGAATCGCACGACATATTTGAAAATGACAAGTATTTACGTATTTTTGCTGCTTGAGAAAATTCCTGATGCAGATGCCGTAATACATTCCTCTCGACATGGTTTCAGATTCGAATCTGAAAGTAAAATCTTTTATCAGGAGAGGTGAAATTTTGGCAAAATTAATTTGTTAATAATTTTATAAACTTTCGAACATGTTAATTTTCTTCTTTTTCGTTAAACATTAGTGGATAATTCCAAAATTAGGTTAGGAAAATTAAGCAAAGCCATTCAATTCATATACTTTTAATTAAGATTATATACATAAAAATTTGCACTAAGAACGAAAGAAGAAGATTTACAGATTTGAAGTCCGTCAAGTTGATATTAAAACGACTGATGTTGTCAAAAGATATGACCAAATCAATGAAAAATAGCAGGTACATCAATAAATTATGATACTTATGACTTACTGTTTCCCCCGAAATATCTTAAGTAAATTTCTATTCGTTAGAAAATAATTTCGTATTTTATTCGTTATTACGTAATTTATTCGTTGTCGAATAAAGCAAAATTACGGATCCTCTGACCCGTCGTTGAGTGTACTACTTGACAGGAAGAAAATAGGCTGGCCTGTCGTTGACTCGTACGATTTCTCGACGGAGGAGACGGCGCCTCGTAGCGGAGACTTTGGAACTAGAGGAAGGCAAATGTGGTTCCGAAGTCTCCGATACGAACCGCCACTTTCATCGCCGAGAAATCGAGCACGTAGTACGAGTCAACGACAAATCAAACGCGCCGTTATTTTCAATTTCTTTTGCTTTCACGTGGAACAACATAACAACAGGCGAGCGGATCGTCTTATTTTGTAGAATCCCGACTCAATGCCGAATCGGGCAGCTTTTTATCATCGAGTAATACGATTCAACGACGAATCGAATCAATTTTTACTTTTCAGTAGTACGATTCAATGGGAGCTGGGACGAATCCTTTCACTTCTCTTGCTTTTTCTCTTTGACGAGAACTCGAAATCTACTTATCCAAAGGTGGAAGAATGAAATGTATCCAAAAAGAATAGAAAAAGGTAACGAATAATACGAAACGACACGATAATTACTGCTCTCAATTCGTTTATTCACTTCGTCGAGACGTATTTATCGTTTTACCTAAAATATAAACGTAAAAACGGGATAGTCGCGCTCCAATGTATGAATTTCGTCTATAATAATAATATTATTATCACTAATATACACGCCTTACGTATGTATGTACATAATCCCGTATAATATATACAACGATGCACGTGCTATTATCATTATAATAGGTATTGTGAAAAAATAGCAATTAACATTTACTAATACCCTAATAAATAATATGCTAAGGGAGACATGTTTAATACAGTTCTCACATCCGTCCCTCGTATTCGTGATTACAAAAATCAGGATGTCGATATACGATTTGGAAAGAAATATTATCACATTTTTCGTCTTTTTTGCTTTTCCCGCGTTATAATATCGTTCTTTTCGTTTCATTTCCCCGAGGAATATAACGAAGAGAGCCAATTCGTTTCTTTCCCGGCCACGAAATTCAAATACCGCGAGTATTCTGCGACGACGCTTGAAATCTTGCGAAACCTCGCCGGTTGGTGAACCCGGGAAAAAAATTTCTCACATATAATTACGTATAGAATATTACCATATATAAAAATATATAATTATACTAATAAATATGTATTTATATATAATCATATATATAACTATATCACCACTTCATATATAATTATATATATATATATATTATATATATTTTTATATATAGACTATATTCTATATATGACGCCATATATAGAGTTATATCTAATTATATATAAATATATATTGAAAATTTTTTTCCCGGAAAGTGCGTAAAATTCGCCCTCGACAGATTCGCGGTATGTTATCCGGGCTGATGTGATCGTGTCGCAGTCTTTTTTACGAAACCGCATCTCGAACTGTATCGTAAATATTATTAAACAGCTTACAAAGCAGTCGTAAAACCTGTGTAGCTGTGTGTATGCCTGTGTGTGTGTCTGTGTGTATGTGCGCGGAACGCAATCTCGCTTTGGTAAAGCACGGTGTGGCGGTGGCGGCATTTAATCATTATATTGTTGTCACAGCACCTAATCGAGAAGATTCACGCGAGAGAAAAATCATTCCTCGAGTTCTCTTCCTTTTCTTCGGCTCGACGCAAAGCCTTAAGGGGGGTATTCTGACTTGAACTGTCATTCTGTAGGTGATCTTTGGACATTTTTTTTCTTTTTTGAAAAACTATAACTCATACAATTTTGAAATTTTGCATGATTATTTATCTATATTTCATCAACTATGTACAATAATTTCTACAAATTATTGTATTCAATATCAATAAGGTTATAAATAATTTTGTTAGCGCCGAATGAGAAATGTCGGTTGACACGATTTCAGACGTTGCATGCCGACAAAATTATTTAAAACTTTATTAATACTGAATATAATAACGTGTAGAAATTACCGTGTATAGTTGAAGCGTGGATAAATATTTACGCAAAACTACAGAATTGTACGCCTTGCAGCTTTCTCGGAAGAAATTCCTAACAATCACCTATCAAACGTCCCAAGTGAGAATACTTCCCTTTATGTCGCACTTTAACGAGGTAATAAAATTACAGCTGCTGCAAAACGAAAAGGATTCGTCGCGATTGAGGTACTCGGAATTCCCCCCTCCCCCTACTCCTCCTTCGCGCATTCTCTCTAATTAATTATACCTGTTTTAAATCTCCTTTACACAATCGCACTTGGTGTCGCGTTCGTTTCGTTCGTTAAATCCCTATTAATTCTCTCTCTCTCTCTCTCTCTCTCTTTGACTTCGGAGCGAATAAGCGTCTAGCGTCATCGTCCCCGTGAGACTCGGCTAAGCTCCGTCGTTTACTTCAATATAAAATAATCCACGAGATATATATTCAACAGTATTCTTCGTCAACTAATAAATACAATATCGTCTCTACGTTTCCTCTTTCCCTAAAAAGAGTGTGTGTGAGTGTATGTGTGTGTGTGTGTGTGTATATGTGTGCCATCGTTCTCGCAATCGAGTCGAGCGAGAAGGACACACGGTTGATTATCTCACTTGGAACGCTAAGGCAGAAGCCGGCAAAGTCCGCGGAAAGGCGCGCTCCAAGTAGTTTTCCGCGGACTCTGCGCAATATCGCACCGCTCTCGCAGCAATGATACAACAATTGTTGTGATCCGATGATATGTCTTGGAATTTGTCATTCTGCCAAGTTTTCGCGTCACAAGCGCTCCCCCCTTTCCCTCGTCGAGGGAGATTAGAATAATAATAATAATAGTAAAGTATCATCGCGCGACAATGCCACGTGAGATATAAGATAATAAGAGCCTACGCCTGACGAGCGGCTCGTGAGCAACCATTGCGCGCAACCTTTCCCCGTTCCTTCGTATTCTTCTTCTTCTTCCGTTTCTTTCTCTCTCTTTCTCGAAGCGAGAAACGCGCTCGTCGGACGCGGCTCACCGCTGCGCACAGGCGCAGGCGTTAAAATCACAGGCGAGAACGATAAGTAAGATAATCATCCTCCGTTTTTTGTATGTCGTCATTACTCCTATGTAATATTTGGTCAAACCATTCCTAAGTTCTGAGAAACCACAGTAAGCGATTTTGACATTTGTAACTCTCTACTGGTGGTAGTAGTCATATAAATTATTATCACTATCAACATGTATTTTCATCATATTGCGTCATCGAATTGAAAACAGGAGGCAAGCAAGAGCCAGCTGGTGGATCGGAGTGATGTCATATTTAACGAGAACGAAACAGGTGTTCACGTGTTTGAGGAACGAATCGGTATCCCTTCTAATTGTTCGGGCCTTTTCCGAAGCCAATTGACAATTTTGAAATTCAAATTGTACGCTGTCGTGCTTTTATAAAATAAGAGAAACATGTCGAAGTCGTTAAAGTGTGAAGTGTTAGGTGAAAGAGATTAGATGCTCATCGTGTCCAGGAATAAAATGAACATCCTGTATATGTATCAGTAAAATATCTGTTACCGTTAAAATTGCACGAGGGAAAAGAAAAAAAAAATATATATATATATTTAAAAATTTGGCTTACTTTTTTCCTTATTTATGTTTTATAGCAAATATTACATTAAAAATTTTATAATTGTCATCTTGTGTTGAAAAACGTCCAAACTCTCCACACCGAAACATTAGTTTCTAAAATGTCAACATCTTTTTCTCCCCATCAAATCTTATGTCCAACAGCGGGGTCTGGCTCTCACTTGCCTCTTGTTTGTCCATTCGCTTGTCATATCTTGAGAGCCTTTGTATGTGCTTTATATATTCGTATCGTATCATATTTCCCTTCAACCCACTTGTATCGAAGAGAAGCGACTTTTTTCCATTGAACCGTCGCGAATCGCGCCAAGGAATCGAGGATAAAACACAAAGTAAACGCATCGGTTTCAAATGTTATTATAAGATACACAACGAAGTTTTGATTCTGTTATATTATACATTCGTCCGTGAACTTTCGCACCGCAATCGGGTGCGAAACTAGTCGACTATCCCCACATCGTCGTCTCAAATGGCAATAACCTATTACAATGTTGTTGTTGTTGCACCGTACAATCGTACGCGATTACTCTTGCTACAAAGAATCCTCTCTCTCTCTCTCTCTCTCTCTCTCTCTCTCTCTTTCTCACACACACACACACATATATGAACACTTTCGCACTTTGTATAATATAACAGAGAGTTCATGTATACATCGTGACACTGGAAGGAAAAAAAAATAGTAATATTCTCACGCATTTTCGCGTGAGATGTGATTCGTGAGTCGGAGAAGCAAAAAGAGTGCCGCAACGCGTTCTCGACCGCTTTCTCGTTGTCCTCGCATTTTCGTAGATGCATGCAAACAAGATGACGTTATTGAAGGCCTCGGAGACACAGTGGGTTGAACGTCGATACATTCATTGTCGTCAATGTCATCATCATCACACACCGATTTCAAGTAGGATTTCAGGCACTGTCAAACCCTTCCGTAGAAAATTCCGCGAGAGACAATAATCATCCCTCGAGATCGCGCGCGTCCGACGTCTCGAGTTCTTTCCCTCTTTTTTTCTTCTTTTTTACCCCTCAGTGTTTAAGCGTTAATAACGTCCGTGTGTTATACTTAATTACATCTACGGCACGCGACCCCTCGTCGCGAGTGTAACTTAAATGTAAGCTCCCGGGGAAGCTCTGTTTTCGACGAGAAATCTCCGAGCGAGCAAATGGATCTGGCGTCTCTCTCTCTCTCTCTCTCTCTCTCTCTCTCTCTCTCTCTCTCTCTCTCGATATGTTTCCGCTACTCGCGAGGGGATCGCGGCGACGAGCAACGCAACGCTCACGGGATCTCACTCGCAATGTACGCTCCTAAAATGCGGTAAAAAGTAACAACAATGCAGCATATCTCGTCGTCAGCCAAGTACACGCAAACGAAATTTACATTGACAATCTGACGACACACACACACACAGTGTTAAACAATGGCATTTTATTCAACTTAGCGTAGATCGCAGAGTGATCACAAAGAAGATATCGTTCGATACATATATATATATATATATATATATATATATATGTGTGTGTATAACAACAGAATTGTAAGTCGTAAAAATAGTAATACACTCGTCACTTCTGCACTAAATCCGTCAACGTCGAACTCTGAACACCGAGCAGCTGGTAGAAGTTTAATTTGATCGGGCCTGTACTTTTTTTCTTCCAGGTACACGCGTATTCTTCTTTTTCGTTTTTCGTTTTTCCGTAACAACGGGGAATAAATTTCGTATATATATATATATACATATAATCTCTATAATTTATAATTATAATATTTCGTCCGTTTGTTTTTCGCATCTCCCTCGCATCCGAGATTGTCTGCAATGCGCAGCTGAAAATGCGGCGGAATCCCGAGAGAAACATCATCAACAGACGATAAGAATAAATATGCGAACATATTTACAGTTAACGTGCGGTGTACGCTCGAGGGACAAGAATTTCACGTTGTGTCGTGCATACGCGATACGCACGGCTCTTTCTTTCTCGAATATATTCCCGATAAAGAGAAAAATACGAAATTTTCTCCCGATGTGGAGAGAAAAATCGCGGCGGAGAAACATAAAAAATTCTCTGCGTCCACGACGAAGTTTCCGTTAAAAAAAAAAAAGTTATTCCCATTCATTCTCAGATTTTGCGAAATAAAAATTGTCGCTTTCTCGGGTTTTCGTAACGAAAAAAAAGAGAGAAAGAGAGAGATATGATGTAAACTGAAACTTCTACCAACTGGTTACTCACGAAGCGAAGAGTAAAACGCGTTTCTACCCAGCATTGTGCCATTGAAATTCCGTCGAAATTTACCGAAGGACTCCGCGGTCAGGTTGTGCAGGTCTTCCCGGCAAGTATCAAAAAGTAAGCTTATTTATCAGTAAAATTGAGACCGCTACCGAGAAGCTGGAGAAAACTTGCACAATAGCCCTTCGTCTCGCGCGCGTCATAAATTAACGACCACCGCTATCATCATCAAGATAATGCCCTGATCGTGCATGTATCTCAACAACTTATCTTCGTGGCACCATTGTGATTCAGTTTGTGGTTTATCGCGGTCTCCTCCTGAATAGTCTTGAGGTAATCCTCCAACACCGACGCCAGGTGACGTCGCTTGAAACGTAACGACTCCCTCACGATGTCCTTGACGAATGCGAGTCGTATGTCTAGGGTTCCCTGAATTTGATGCAAGTGTGAGAGCAAGGCTGTGTAATCTGAAACGAAATATAGATCGATCGTCGTGTTAGCCCCGCCATATTAACCGTATTCGCCGGTGACGAAAAAACGAGTAAGCTTGTCGAATGCAAAATGTGTGTTCTTTATCATATTTATATATATTTCTAGCTTTTTCTCTCTCATTCAAGAAAGATATCGAAGGCTCTGATGGTAAACTGATGGTAAAGAAAGAGACAGAACTAAAAGACTTTTAAAAGACATACTTTCAACTATATAATAACTTTATATACCTATACAAAAAAAAACAAAATTAAGCATAATTATGAAGTTAAATTAATTAATTAACTTAACGTAATTTACGTATACTTTCTCAGAGAGCGTATCGAAAAGATGGTTCCAGAAAAACGGCCGCTCACGTATTTCTCTTTGTATGCATATCATGCGTAGTTGGCTTGAAAATCGTCCACGATGACAGATCTCGAAGCGAGATCTAGTATTTATATCGGTAGATACTTGAAAGGTGCTAGATCGTTAGTAATTTCTAGTGACTTTTATACCCGGCCAGCAACTCGGTCCGAGATTCATCCTCGAACGGGGATCCAGCAAACAGTCGGTAATACTGAATGCATGCTTTGTTACAAAAAGCAACGGATGACTAGCAAAATTAGGAGAGGTGATAAAACCTACTAGACTTACTTCTGCCTTTTCGTCGCACCTCCCTGTAGACGAGCTCCCGTATGCTCAGATTATGCCGCCTGATCTCCTCAAGCTCCTTCTTCGTCGGCTTCCGCTCTCTCTCGGGCCTCGGTCTCTCTTCTACGTGGTTCGTCAGCCTCTCCTCAGCGGCTGCACTATCACCTACTTTCACATTGTTCTCAATGATGCAATCGTTAACGGGCAATAACCGGCCGCACTCGCCCTTCACCCCGTCTGTTCTCTCACTTTTAACATCACTCTTCGCCGCGTCGCTCACGTTATTAACGATCGGAGTTAATGTGGGCGGCGTGTCCATGTGATTGTTAACGTGCTCCGTCGGTTCGAACACAGGTATCGTGGGCATCTCCGCGAGCCCATTCACCAGCTTCTCCGGCGGCTGAGCGTTCGACACGAGACTCGGCGACACGTGGCTCGGAGTCGCGTTGCTCGCACAGATCGAACTCGGCGAGGAGCTCGGGTCGACGGCTGATGCCAACGTGGTCGTCGTCGTCGTCGTCGTCGTCGGGCTTTTCGGGTCCTCCATCCACGGGATCGGCGAACTTGGCGGCGTGTTGGTGGGTGAGTGCGAAGGCCGTCGTACGACCACGTCTTTCGGTATCGGCCCGGGCTTCCTCTTGTTCGGCAGCGGCCTCGGGGACGGCGGACTGCCGCTGTCCGACTGCGACAACGTGCGCTTGAGGCCACCCTTGGACGTAGATGACGTTGCGTTCATCATGTCGATATCCGCCTCGTCCACCATCATTCTCTTGTCGATCTTAAACGGGTTGCCTGCGGGGAGAAGTCATACTTCTTATAATATATTGGTCGGATTCGGAAATGGAAAATATGTCGGAAGTAGAGTTCGTTCGGTCGGAAATCTAAAGCCAACGGCACACGGTGCTTGTTTTCGTGCTGGATCGCTTGCCGGATGGAAATACCGCGTTCCGATTGGTGTGTTCCCATCTATTTTCAGAGATGCGCCAATCGGAACGCGGTATTTCCATCCGGCAAGCGATCCAGCACGAAAACAAGTATCGTGTGCTGCTGGCTTAACTCTCGATAGAAACTTGCCAAGCTGCCGGGCGACACTGCCAATCACCGAGCTACTACCTAACTTTAAGATACGATCCATCTTTAACGACTCGCATGTTTCGAAGCATATAGTACTAGTGAAGTTGAGTGAATTAATCGGCGCCTTACCAAACATATGTTGTCTGACAGGAACACTCTCGATCTCTCGCAGCGGCGGCGTCATGCGTTTCAAATATTCCTGGTAATTTCCCATCTGAGCTAGAGGCATGGAGTGAACGTAATCATCGTCAAGCAACTTTGTATGCAACAGGCCGGGCTGCAAATAATTCGCGCGCATCCTCACTACTTGATCGAGCAGGGACTTCCGGGGGACGTCGAAAACGTTTCTGTAACTGTGCGCGCCGCGTTGCTGTTGCTGGTTTCTCACCAGTCCGACCACGAAACCACCGAACTCGTTCAACTGATCGCGCAAGCCAGCCTTGTCTTGCAATAACGGATGGGACACCTGTAAGTATCGTCATCAATTGACATCAACATTGTTATCAATGTGATACTGTTGGATAACTTTTTCAACTGCTTTCACGTTTCGAAGATATTCAAAGATGCGTATCCACGCTTACCAAGTCCTTCTTCAATGGTGTCCTCGGTATAACTCTCACTCCTTCTGTCACCGCACTTGAGCCACAGCTGGACAAGTTTTTTGTGAGATTGGAAGCCGTAACCTGCTTGGAGATCACCTCGTTGCAGAGACGGTCGAACTCTATTTTGGCTTGATTCTTCATACGCTTCAGGTAATTCAAGACACTGTACGACAGAGTATTGTCCATACTGTCCGGTATTAGCGTTTGCGCTAATGCCGTGGGTGTGCCCATCCTGGTTAACGCTCTTCTCAATGACTGCCAAACAAAACAACACGTTCTTCGTAATGATGTTTCCAAAATCGCACATAATTGAGAATTTTCTTTGTTTAAAACTATATCTTGAGAAGAAAACTAAAATTGTATGGATAATTTAAGGTTAAAATTAGGCAGAAGATAAATATAAAATTCTGAAGCACCTAAAAAATGTATGTGTACAAACGTACATGTATAAATAATAGAATATATCTTTTATATATATTATCGAATATATTTATATAGAACTTTTTATTTATATTATTAAACATATATTTATGCAGAGCTTCTAGCTATGTATTTATATTGTTCCATTTTAATGGAAACAATAGAATATCTTGAAAACAAAGCAATAGACGAAAAAAATTTCAGAAAGAAGTTGCGGAGTTTGGAGGGAGCATAATTTGGTAAACTTAACTTCGCTATATAGTCAATAATTTGAAGTAATTTTATTATTTCTATAAAATTATGTAATTTTGAAAATAAATCGACTCGTCTGCTCGTTCTGCGTATCAGAGTAAGATCATGGAAGAGTGAAGATACCATTTGAAAAATATTTTATTTTTTATCTTCCGATATATATATATATATATATATTTAAAATGCAGGCAGTGCGACTTGGAGAAACTATAAAGAATTTAGAAGTGATCTCCGAAATGGTGTACCAGTACAGTTAAACTTACAGCAGCGTAATAAGTGGGCATAGTTCTCACGTAATTCTGGAACTGCGCCCTCCATTCGTTGGTAGGCTTCAATCTGTGCACCTTGAAGAGCTCCTCCAACAGGGGTAGCAGTACGGGGTAGTTGTAAGGCATAACAAACAGATTGACGCAGGTTAAATTTGTGCTGGCCTTTAGGTAGCCGAACGGATGGCCGACCTCGCTCGACTTGTAGGAGTTCGCGACGAAAACCTGCCAGCAGATCGTCGGTTGCTTCCTTGCTAAGATGTACTGCGTCAACGGGCTCGGCTCCAGCTCATATTTGTCGAAAGGAAGGTTCTCGATCACCATCGGCTCTTGGCTGGTGCAGGTGAACTTTACGTTGGGATGCGCCGATCTGGGCGGCAACGAACTCGCGCTCAGATCCGGCCAGAAGCTCTCAGGAATCGGCCAGAATCCGACCGCGAATCCCTTCTGCGCCGAACGTGGCACGTAAATCAATCGTCTGCAGGAATGCCAGGCCGTGTTGCCCGGCACCACTGCGCTTGGGTACTGCGTCCGAGGCCCGTTCGCCGCGTTACCCTCCTCTTCGTTCTCCTCTTCGTCCTGGTGCGACGTCTCGTTGGTCAACGGCGGCGGATCCGGGCCGATCTTCTCGAAATTTATCACTACCCCCGACTGGACCTTCTGCACGAGAGAATCTATACATTGTATCATCATCCTGAACGACGTGATACAATACGACCGACCTGCACAACGCGAAAGAACATAACAACTCGTCAATAAGGGCGGTGTTCATGATCAGATCTTACATTTAAGACCGTCTCGAGTTCATCTTCAGACGCTGCACGGCTGATTGAAGGCTACAAGACATCTGGAGATTAACTCGAGACGCTCTTAAATCTAAGAATTTGACTATAAACATCGACCTAAGACTTAAGTTTCAAGTTTAAATTTAAATTCAGCTTCAGCTAGTTCGAATGTAAGGCGCAATCTCGTGTAATATCAGGACTGAATTTCAGACTTGAATTTTTCAAGTTGATCTTCACTCCTTGTGCACAGCCAGACCGATTTCAGGCCTTGAATCAGCAAAAGATTTTCGTGAAGAAGCACAAGTAAAATAAAGAAATAACTGCAGTCCTAATTTAATTTGGACACGTCTAAGTTACCTCCGGTAACTTCGCACATAGCATCTATGGGCGACGCATCGCTCGCCACGAGGCCAATGTCTCGCTCGACGGCTGGCGTTCCCGATAATCGCAGCACCAGAGAGAACAATCTTTGATCCCATCTGAACGGCTCCTTGGTCAATTCAGATCCAGGTATTGGTGAGTGCATAGGTAACGTGAACTATGAGAAGGGAAAGAGAAGGAAATAATTTAATCAGTAATAATTTCGCAATTTAAATCATAATTTATTCACTCTCACATCATAATGAGATTATATAGATTGTACTCACATCCTGATTAACTGCATTGTTAGTCGTGTACTTTCCTCCATCCGTTATAACAACTATAACTGACGGTTCCAGGTAAAATGGACATCTACCCTGGCCATACGTGTCTATGCCAGTCTGCATACGATTTATGTTCAGCACATCCAAGGCATGCTTCAAGGCAGCACCGAGTGTTGTTAAACCAGTGCACTGCAAGTTCTTCAATTCGTTCATAAAGGTTGCTAAATTCTCCTTCCATCCTGCCTGCGATAGATAACATAATTAATTCATTAATTTATAAATTATTCATTATCTCCTTCTAAAATGTATTTAAATACCTAAATAGACTGGTGTACATAAATTTAGCAGCAACTTTGCTGTACAAAAAAATTTTGTTCCAAGCAACATTTTATGCGCCAGTTTTGAGTCTTTGTCTTAAGTACATGCAGAATGACTTGCCTTGTGCTTTTAATTAAAAAGCCACTCTGTTACTTTGTGAATAATGACAAACTACTGTATAATAAGAAAAAAAGTAAAAAGATGATGGTCTGGGCAAAGATTTAGAGCATAAGATACTGTTTAAAATTACAAGTCAGCCATTCTATCAAGGCCCTAAGTTGAATGTCTTAATTCTCGGTGGAGGAACTTCGTCACTTTTTCCTTTTCAACGTTCGGTTACATGCTTTTTCGTCCTGAAGGCAGAAAACGCAATCCGACTCGGCTAAACAGAGCTGTTGCCTTCGAATTACCTCCGAGGTTGAGAGTTAGAACATCCAACTAAAGTGTAGTCTACAATGGGCAGTAGGAATATGTTCACAAGAAGAATAGAAAGTAACCAATCATATTTGAATGTAATCGACTATGATTAATTTCTTACTCTTCCTTCTTATAAACATACTCTACTCCTATTGCCCTCTGTAGATCACGTTTAAGATTATCATTAAATAAGAACAATTACATTTATGTATATATACGTATATACATATACATAATGTTTATATATTCTGCAACATTTATAAGACGAAGAGAGGACAATGAAAAACTATTTACGCTGGAGAAACAAGGCTTATTTTTTATTCTTTTTAAGGGTTCAAACACCACGTGGATCTTGAGGTTAAGAACAACGGAGGCATGGCTGGATTCAGCAGGAAGAGGAGCTCGGGGAGCGCTTAGTGACTGTCGGCTCCTGGTTCGATAAATACTTGTAGATCTATCGAGAATCCAGAAGAACGCCCCAGTCGCTCCAGACTGAATAATCACTGAGCATTCATCGAGCTGTTTTTCCCGCTGAACGCGGGTCACGATCGCACGGGAGAATCAAGCCGTTTTCATTCGGAAACTGCGCCGATTTGGAGCTACCGGGATATCGGACGACCCGTTAGATGGCGTGACCAGGCATTTTCTCCTCGCGGGGTATTGCTCCGTCGTTCGTGCCACCGTCGACGGTGCGTGCCTTCCGCAGCCGTGGATACACGCGTGGGGGGAACACGAGACAGAGCGAGCAAGAGCACGGCCGTCCGCGACTCCGTGCATGAATTATCCGGAGCCATTGCGCGATTTAACCTGCTCCGACTCCCCGAGGACCCGAGAGAGAGAAAGAGAGAGAGGACACACGAATGCTTCTCCCAGGGTGGGATCCTCCGTCGATCAAAACGAATGCTTCGCAACAACAGGAGGGACGAGTAGACGACACGCGGAATTAGAAAACGAGGAGGATAAGCTCGCGATGTTGAAGGGGGTAGCGCGCGAGAGAGATAAAGAAAGAGAGAAAGAGTGAGCGAGAGAAGGAAGGAAGGCGGGAACATGTGTGAGCGCGGAGAGAAGCGTACCTTGATATTGTGGGGCGGATCTTCGAAGGTCAACAGCATGTAACGATCCCCACGACTCTCCGGCGATCTTTGTCGGACCTGGAACAACATTTTTCCCAATTTACACTTACTCCGAACCGCGCGCGTGCACACATACACACACACAACGCACTGAACACGCGCGTGTCCACCGGGTGAGCCTCCGAACACTGTGAGGTTATCTCGACCCGCGTCACCTTTCTCCTCGTCGTCGGGGAGGCTAAGCTGGTTACCGGAGCAGTCGAGAGCGAGAACACGAGGAAGAGACAGACTGTATGCCTTCTTCCCCTTCTCATCCGCTCACTGCACCCTACGTACAACACAAGCGCGCACACGACGACGGGGACGAGGACGACGGCGCGCAAAAGCTGTCGAGCCCGTTGACAGATTCCGAACGGCGTACCTTGACGAAGGTCTCCACGGCGCTCTTGGCTACGTCCAAGAGCGTGGGCCGCCCGCCCAAATAAGCCCTCTGATTCATGGAGGCCGACGTGTCGATCAAAAAGACTATTATGGTCATCTTCGGGAGGAAAACTCTGGTGACGACGGCGACGAGGTCCGAGACACGCGCGCGCGCGCGCGCGTCGTAGCGTACTCCTGCTATAGGCGAACTGGCGGGCCTGCCGTCCGATGCGCTGGCCCGTCGGAACTAGCTAGTAGGATGCCCTAGGACTACGGCGACGACTACGGCGGCAACGGTGGTAGTGGTAGTGATGGTGGTGGCGTGGCGCATAGCTGTCGCGACCATTGAACGGCTTTCCGAATACGCTCTCCGAAAAAACTTCTCTTTTATCGTAACAGCGCTCGCTTGGTCCGTTTCTCCCTCTTTTCTCTCTCTCTTTCTCTCTCTCTTTCTGGCCGATTCTCCCTCTCACTCGGTCGTGCTGCACACTCGTACGTGCGTGTTACATATTGTGATAATGTCTATGTCATGTTAATATATACGAGTGTGCGTCTATATATATATATATATATGTGTGTGTGTCGCGTCTGTTCTCTCTCTTTCTCTCTACTCTATTCCCTCTCTCTCTCTCTCTCTATCTCTCTCCTTCCCGCCCGTCCGCCTCTTCCCGCGGCCGATACTTCTTCGCCGCTACACTACTCTACCGTGTGATCCGATTCGTGCCCCCGTCCCGTATGTAACGTCTTTGCCCTCTGCCGTGTACCAAAAGCTCTCTGCTGGAGGAGCGAATCGTCGCTGCTCGAGTGCTGGTGAAACAGTAACAGCAAGATACAGTACCAGCTGAAAAGCAGCTGCGGCTTGCTTCGGGGATTGCGAATCGGATCTGTCTGTCTCTCAAGCTAACCTTCCTCCTGCCTGTGTTCGCCTTATCGTGTCTCTTCCTCCCTTTCCCTCCCAGTCGTATTTCCTCACTCTTCTTTTCCTAACATCACGCCTCCCGGTGGGCACTATACTTTATCTCTCTCTCTCTCTCTCTCCAGCCAAAGTTTTTCCAAGTTAACTCTGTCTCGCTTATTCTCGCTCAACCCCCCTCCCCCCCTGTTGTACGTACTAGCAGCCTCGATTGGCCTCGATCGTTCCCCTTCCCGCCGCAACGTTCTGAGCATGCGCACGAACGCGCGCTCACACCGGTGAGGCACGGCACGTGATTCCTCGCACGAGTCCGCCATTGGTTCTTCGCTACACCTTTTATCCGCACCTTCTGTACCCTCGTGCTCTCTCTCTCTCTCTCTCCTAGTCAAACCAACGCGATCGTGTCGCCCTCTCGTCGAGAGAGAGGGGTGAAGGGGTGTAAACGCTCGGTACAGTCGTCGATAGAAAGATCGTCTCATTCTCTGGGTGCATGGTGATATGGGAAGTCTCGAGGCAGCCGCATCGTCCCTGAATATCCGTGTATCCCGACCGCCGATTATTCCGTGAACCAAGCAAGGAAAGCTCCGCAGTTGTGATGCACGAATATCGAAATGTGATGCGCCGAAATCCGAAATTCCTGTCATTACACGCTTCGGAAACGGGACGATCTTTTTGTCCGCGACTGTACACCCATTTCTCTCTTTGATCGACTTGCGCCGCATGACACGGTGGTGCATCATCATGAGGTGCTCCAGCCTCGGCGACTTTCCATCGAGCGATTCATCGTGTATCATCATCGTCGTCATCATCATCACATCGCTACGTGCACCTCGTCGAAACGAAGACTCTCCCTGCGAGGTTTCGTGGAGCGGGCCGACGACTGGTCGCTCACAGTCGCTACAGACCGGATCGCCCGGTGAAGACGACGAGTCGGCGACGGTGCTACGTCCGTGGAAAAGAAAAAAAAAAAAAAAAGAAAACATCCATATTGATTTTACAAACACGTTACACAAATCCGTTACACATCTTAATCGATGTAAAATGGTTCCCTGTGTATTGAGTAGCAGCGGCATATAGTTTAGAGAACGCGACGAGACAGCTGTCGCTAGGAGTAGGCGCGCGGGATATATTTCTACATTTCGTACAATCAATGACTCCGCAAGAAGCAGCATCTACAATCAGCATTTTAAATGCGCTTTTATTTCAACCGCCTGCTTAGCACTGCCGCTCGCAGATCCTGTTCTAGCGGCCGAGCCGGTGCTCGGAGAGCACCTCGAGCGTCGGCGGCACCGTGTCGAGAGACTTCAGGGAGAGCGCGGCGGCTCTCAGACCCAGGGAGATACAGTCGCTCTCGACGAGGTTTCGATGAACCCCGTAGATGACTCCGGCGGTGAGACAGTCCCCGCAGCCGCTCACGCTGAGCACTTCCTCGCCGGGCCTCGCCGCGTTCCTCTCGACCGGATACAGCCGAGACACGGCCGTCGAAGAGTCGACGATCAGCTCGCCGTCCTCGCTGTAGAAGGGCTCGTTCTCCGATGCTCGGCGCGTCACCTGCAAAATAAGTAGCTCCGTGAACACAGCCGGATATCACTTGTCGTCATCATGGAAGCTAAAACGAAGCTCGGAAAACGCGTACCAACGCTCCCCGCTCTCCCAGAGTGGTAATGATCACTGGAATGTGTTTGCTCAGTTCACCGGCCACGCGTCTCGCCTCAGCTTCCCAGCTTTCCGCGTCGGTTCCGGTGACGGAGATGCCGAAGAATCTGCCGATGACCCTCAGCTCGTGCAGGTTCGGCGAGATGAAATGCAGCACGTCTTGCCAGTGCCGGCAAACTTCAAATATCTTCGCTGCTTTCTGGATATCCGTGGGCTCGTACCAAACTGAAAAAAAAAAAACGGGAGAAAATGATTTTATATATGTATCCTCCTAAGAGATTTACACATCTCTCTGCGTCTTATCTGTACGAGTTATTGGAGGAATCTCTCGTGTCTTCCTCTCTTCTTTATTTTCCTATTCGTCAAATTCCTTCCTCCCGGGTCTCGATCGACGATTGTAAGAGGATAAAGAGGGGAGGCTTGAGGAAGACATTTTCTCGAAAGACGTAGAAGTTAGTGACCATGATGAGACCTCCGCTCTTTTTCTCATTTCCTTTTTTTTTTCTCCGAACATGTATCCTTTTCTGTGACTCTTCAGGGGTCATCGGAGCCGATGAGGGACACGCAACGCGCTCTGACGTCGGCACAGCGAACTTCTTTCGAGGAGTGTCGCTCGTTGACGCATCCACCCAGCGCGAGCGTACAATAAATACACAGCGTCGGTGAAGCGTGAGCGCGAGAAGTGGCATTCTCCTTGTTTTTCCCACCACGTGCGATCGTGTTTACACTTCTGTCTGTCGGGCGACGTGCGAAAACGCAATGGGGAAGACGATAACGGGCAAGGCCGCCGCCGTGTGCGCGGCGGTGGCGTTCGTTCTAGTGGTGATCGCGTTCACCACACCCAACTGGCTGGAAACCGACGGCAAGCTCGAGCAGCCGCAGTTCGTCAAGATCGGTGAGACCATAAATCCTCTGCAAATTCTGTATCAATGTATCAACAATGTGTCCATAGACCGACATAATCGCCTCGGTACATGAAGTTTTATCATCCTGGAACCCCGAGGTTTCCATCCTATGCTCTGGAATGCCGTGACCTTCATGTGTCGAAGTGATGAGACCATCAATTGCCCACCCGATGTGTACTTGTGTCTTCAAGTTGGGAGAAAGAGGTGTCAGAGTCGTGGTAGCCGATTTAGTCACTCCAGTCTGATCTTTGCAGGTCTCTGGCAAGTGTGTTTCCAAGGCTTCCAGGACCCGCATCATCTCTACGACACCAGGTTCTACGGTTGCTGGTGGGTGTTCGAGGAGGAGTACTACATCATACATGACATACTTCTGCCCGACTTCTTCGTCGCCACGCAGTTTTTCTTCACGTTATGCCTGACCCTGCTGCTGATCGGAAGCTTTCTCACCATCTTGTACACCTGCTGCTCCCGCCATCACGAGAAGTATCAGCTGCTGCTGTGGGTGAACGGCGGCATTCTATCTTTGGGGGGTCTCTGCGGTCTCATAGCGGTCATCATATTCGGCGCCAGGGGCGACGGTCGCGATTGGATGCCCAATTGGGAGCACAACGACGTCAGCTGGTCCTTCGCCTTGGCCGTCGTCGGCAGCTTCGTCCTGATTGCCGCCGGTATCCTGTTCTTGATCGAAGGACGCAGGTACAGGAAGAAGCAGGAGCAGATATTGAACGACGGCCAGAAAACGCATACTACCATATAGCATATTTTTTAACGAATCTAAAGATGCAGGCCTGTGTGAGTAGTCGATACTTCCCTCGGGTGAAATACTCGAACATGGATTTACAGTCGGGCGTGAATTTGTCAGCAGATCACACGATTGCGAGTGTTACGTATGTCGTGTATAGTTCAATTAAAAAAATTCGACTCTAAATTCAGATCCGAGGATCTCACGTGGGACAAGTTTCAAGTAACGACTATTGATACGGGTCTTGTTGAGAAAAAGTATACACATAAATACTTGAATCTTCTCATATGAAAAATATTCTATATGGAACTCTCGTTTTAACGTAAGGTTAATCTTGTGATTAGATAGTGTGATTAGATATTAAGTCTATTCTCTGTGTGTGTATAAATCATTATTTCTCTCCCTCTCTCTATCTCTCTTTACATATATATATATATCGTAATATCTACAAATGTGTGTGTGTGTATCATGCGATATATCTATAGATATCTCACATAATCACAGCAAGTGTAAATGTAACAATTATAAGTCTTCACAGAGATTCGTCTGCGATTTGCATTCGATGAGCAGGATTGCTCGTTCTCACAGCAGTTTTAGTATATTCGTGTCTCACATTGTCTACATTGAGATTCATTAAAGTAGTTGGTTTATGACAACAATGTTTAATTAAAAAGGTAACAGCTAATATAACACGAAGCTCGAAAAGTTTGTGCTTAATGCTTATGAATATGATTTATGATATCTAGCTTTGACACTATAGCAAGAGAATATCAATCAATCAAATCTTATAGTATTTAAAAACTCATAAAGAAATAGTCGTTTTCCGCTTTTTCGCGTATAATATTTCTGGCTAGGACTGTCCGTACTGGTCATATGTTGTGAATATATCAAATGTATTGATAGACGCACACGAATGCACGCTACTAGAGAAGTGATTGTGACGTCGGATTTTTTTCGTATTTGATTTGTATTTTTAGCATCTTTACCTACTGATAATAGATCTTTCAGATTATTTTACCTAACAGAATAGATCTTTCAGATTTATTCTGTCTTTAAAAGATGCTTTATCAAGAGAGGCACAAAGCTGTTGTATACTTCAATCGTTATCAGAAATTGTGTACCTCACATACCAATTTCTAGAAAACCAGGTGATCAGTGATCTTGTAATTTTTTTTTCATAATATTTCTACAGGTTTCTTTTTTCGTCTCTTCTAATTTTTTATCAAAATTGTGTGAGTAGTTTGGTCGTTAAAATTAAAAACATATCATCAGAAGTAGTTTCTGTACCTGGGATTACAATGTAAGTAGTGCTAACTTTGATCTCGATTATCTCAACTTCGGTGTGGTCGATCTTTCTTTACTTCTGCATGCACGTAGATCGTGTCTCGATTATTGGTATGCTGTTAAAATTGGAAGAAATTTCGATAAAAAAATTAATTTACAAACATCTTAAATTATTTTAAAAGATGCGCTAGTAGTGTATGTTTTTTTCTGCCCATAGTCAGCTGATCCTTCGCAGACATCAAAAGCGTCCCGACAAACGTTGGTACTCTTTAGCTAATCCAGGGATACAGGTAGAAAAGCAGGAAAAAGCAGAAGCCAGTACTGCATAATAGTGCAGAATCACAATATATGAGACACGTATATATCGCGAAAACGCGAGCAATCTCTCAAATCACGGACGACTTTCTGTGAAGACTGATAATTTTATATTCCTTATATTTACACTCGGATAGATGATTATGCGAGATATCTACATATATATTGCATGACACATCCTACAGATATTATAAGAGATATTTAGAGAGATAACGATTTATATATACGAACAGAGAAAATAGACTGATATCTGATGACTGATAGAACTTAATGAACAGATATTTTACTATGTAAGATTCAAGTATATACATATAATCTTACACATTTTCTATGTAAGATTCGAGTATATACATATATATATTTTTTAAACAATATCAAGACCCGTATCAATAGTTATCACTTCTTACGTGAGACTCACTCGGGTCAAAATTTCCAGTTCAATCCGAGTTTTTCAATCGAATCATACGGCATACGTGACAACATTGTGTACTCGTAATCATGTGATTCAGTTGAGAGATCTATCATCTAGCTAATCATCAGCTAATAATCACATGCGGAGTATTCACTCGAGACGAGAGTTTTAAGTAACGATTACGATTCATACTGGCCCAAGTGTTTCGACACAATGTCGCGTATCTAGAAATAATCCGTCCATCACGCATAGTTTTAAGAGTGTGCTCATAGAGACTATATATATATATATATATATATACACACATACATATATAAATTCATATATATATACAATATATATAATTTTTGTACGTGTATATAAGAGTTTGTACACAGAGAGCGATCGATCAACACATGAATCTCATATTATTCGCATAATCTTTCTGTACGTAACGGAATCAATAAAGCGATTTTTGCTGAGCGTCGACGCGTCACTATCGTTACATGCAGATCCTCGGATCCAGCCAATTAGGCGCTCGCCTGTATACACGGTGACCCACTTTGTGTCCTCGCAAAAAGAGTAGCCGAGAATAAATTACAAGGGTTCCTCGCGTGCATGCGATGATATCAGAACAGCAAAATTGCGATAGAGGAGGAGGAGAAAAGCTCATGTGTCGTTGACCCAATTTAGAATCTATTTTGGTCGCCGCCGCCGCCGCCACGCGATCGACCGCGTTGAAATTTCCGCGGCTGTGCCAGTCGCGCGAATGCGTCACCGTAATGCTCATCGAGATCTTGTAATAACGTTTAACGAATCTTTCATGGAATCTCATTCAGTGATTCGAACGATTCTTCGCGTACGCGATGTCTCCTTGCCTGCATTCGTTCTCGCCGAGTCTCGATTGCGTCTTCTTTTTCCTTCTCTCTTTGCGTGTTGCGTATGAATAGGTATATTCAGTATGTCGCCGCTCGAGACAATACACAGTCCCCCCTCCCCTCCGACTGTATATATGCATACCTATCTCACACTCTTGGCGAAGGAAGGATCATGAGAGAGAGAAAGCGCGTCGCTGAAAGCAGTCGGTCAGATCGCGCTGGCTCTCCGAGAGAAACGCGAGCGGCGAGTATCCTCGTTTAGTATACAGCGCGATTTGCGTTTAGAAACGCGCTCTTGTTCTTCGCGGTCCGCTTGCGTCCTACAGGACCAAGGCTGGAATGCGATCATGAGCGCAGAAAAATAAGAAGTGACACACGGCACCTTGACGGATGATCACGTATGCACATACGTACATACGCGCAGCAGGGCCGGCCGAGAAGCCGATTCCCCTGCGGCAAGGGGCCCGCCATTCTCGGAGACATCTTCGCTTCTTAACAGCCAAGATCAAGTCGCTTCACGGTCTCCCTCAAGATCTCACGTAGGTTCCCACGTCCACCCATCCGCCGTAGAGTCGTTACGCGGAGACCTCGGAGAAATCCTTTACACGGTGTGTGTATGTGTGTGTGTGCCTCGCGACAGAAGAATGAAGAGCTTTCTTTTCTCACCCTGGCGTTTCAATAATGACGCAACGCTTTCTCACAAGACGCCCGTGCGCGGCTCGCTCGCGCCGGCCCGCGGGACCCGCGCCGTGTCGACGCACCTGGCGCGGCGCGCGACTCATTGCTCCTCCACTCGTGGGACTCGTTGCGCGTGCCACGCGGGGTTAGGTTGGATTATTCGGTCGGCGCGCACTCCGCCAATAACACAAGACGCTTGGGTGTGGTATCTGTGCCGTGGGAGCGTCAGGTGGGACTGTGTTGCTGCTGCTTCGTGAAAGACCTGTGGTTTTCTCGTTGCGCGTCCAAACGGGCCTGAGTGGACGGATCGACCGACGGACGGACGGACGATAAGCGAACGGACAGACGGGGCTGAGAGAGTGTGCGGTTTTTCTCGATTTTGTCTCCCTCTCGGCGTCTCTCGCATGAAGAACGACGACGGCCTCACGCTGGCGAGTGAAAACATGAAGAAGAGGAGCCTGTCCGGCAACGTCGGCGTCGGCCTCTTCCTGGTGGCGTTCCTCTGCGTATGCGTCGCCTTCGGCACGCCCGCGTGGCTGGTGAGCGACCCCCGGATCACCGGCGCGCAGTTGGACCGCCTCGGCCTATGGAGGCACTGTTTCAGGTCGTTGCCGAACCCCGCCGAGTCCGACGCGCCCCGTCGCTTCTTCGTCGGCTGCAGATGGATCTACGACCCCTTCACCGCGGGCTACTCCGAGATCCGCGGATTCCTGCTGCCCGGTGAGTCACGAGCGACGCCCGAACGCGCAAAGAGCTCCGTGTCATCCTTCTTAATGGCGAGTCTCACGTCTTCGGTATCTCCGTGAACTTCCTGCGGACTGTCAACAAGTGGTTATCGCCTTGCACTTGCTCGGACGTCTGTGAAAAATCATGTCGTCCCGAGAGGGCGACGCTGAACCACCTGCTGCTCGTCATCCTCGAGGGAGTTCCTGCCGGAGACGAGAGAGAGAGAGAGAGAGAGAGATCTCTTACGCCCGTTTCCAACGTCGTGGTTTAAATGTAATCGACTCAATGGAAACTGACCTATCACACCGGTCGGCCCAGCTAATCGGCCAATGCAATTGGTCAATCCCGTGGAGTTGATTCGTTGAATGCATTCAAACCGTGATGGTTTGATGGTTTAGAAACGGGGATTAGGCATCAAAATCCAATTGGGCTGAGCGACGATCAAGTTACAGAGTGACCAGCTGCAATTTCCGTCGCGGGAGAAATCGAGAAAGAGAAGAGAAAGAAGAGAAGTGGAAATTTCATTCGCAATCCTGATAATTAATTGTCACTCAGCTTAATCGAAGTTTGCTACAACCGAGCCTTATGCCCGCTTTTACCATCAATTTAAGTCGAATCGATGACTAAGGCCTGGTTGCTGATTAAACTCCAATTAAGCTGAGTGAGAATGAATTCACAAGGTTGAAAGTGAAACTACCAATTTCTTCTCTTTCTCGATTTCCTCCGCAACGAAAATTCCAGTTAACGATCCTGCAGAGAGTCAATCGTCGCTAGCTTAATTAGAGCTTGATGCGATGCAAACATATATAACGCATGCTTGTCTCTACTCATCGTGAGAGAATCCAATCGACGATTAACCAGTCCCAGCCAATTGGCCAAATGCGATCGGTCAATTCCGTTGAGTCAATTGTCGATTAAATTCAAACCATGATAGTAGAAAGACAGACCATCAACTGAATCGACTCAATCGTCGATCGGTTCAGCTGATCGACCGGTGCGATCGGTCAACTTCGCTGAGTTAATCGTCGATTAGATTCAAGTCACCGGTTAAGCAGGCATCGGCGAAGAAAGATGACGTAGTGCGTCTCCTACCGAAGCCGACACCGATAACGCGAGATTTCTCATTGCAGCGTTCATGGTGGCCACCCAAGTGTTCTTCACGCTGTGCTTTCTCCTGGGTCTGATAACGTTCTGCCTGATACTGCTGTTCACTCTGTGCTGCGACCCCGAGCGTAAGAGATACATCGAGCTGATCGCCATCATCGGTTGCCTGACGCTGGTGGGCGGCCTCAGCGGCGGCATCGCCGTCATCGTGTTCGCCAGCCTCGGCAACGGGGACGACTGGATGCCCGGACACGCCAACAATTATCTAGGCTGGTCGTTCGCCCTGGGCGTAATCGGCACCGTGCTGATGCTGATCGCGGGCGGCCTCTTCTTGGTGGAGGCGAACATACAACGAAAGAAGCGGGACTATCTGAAGGAGTCGCAGACACGGTTTCAGCTCGAGTCTCGCACCGCGTCGTGAGCGAGCGTGTGTTCATTGACAGTCCAGTAGTACCATATTCCGTCCACGAGGTGCGAGAGCTCTCTCGCCGAGATACTTTACATAGAATGTACAAAACCGGATCTGCATTAATTTAAGGTCTAGTGTTAAAGCCGCGTGAGTTTCATATTTTTATATATTTTATATATATATATAGGTATATATATATATATATATATATATGTATGTGTGTATATCTCTCCTTCCTCCGAGGAGAGAAGACACCTTCTCAGATCTATATCGCGTAAGACGATTTTATTGTACGATAGTATTGTCACTAACAGTATACATACATTGTGCCTATATGTATGTGTGTATGCACAGGATGCGCCGTCGTTACCAAACGATCTTTCGGATCCTTCGTCGTTTCCTTTCAGCCAGCCTTTCTCGAATCTCCACTCATGGACGGTTTCATGCAGTCTGCATCTGCTCCAATGTCTCGGCATCTAATCGACGCGTCTCGCGACCAGGCAGAAAATGTTTATACATAACCATTCTTTTTCGGGGGGAAGTGACGTACATTTCTGATAATATATTTACACAAATAGCGTAATTGATGCTGCCAAAAACGGTTTGCGAAGCTGGCTGAAACGAAACACGACGTCGAATCATCATACCTGAGACTCTCTTATCATTCGAAGAATATCATACGTTCTCGACATTTTCGTGTTGAGTCGCTCGTCCTCGATTTGCCCGAGCGATCTGGTCTTCCGACTTTAAATCTCATCCCGCGAATCACCATCGTCACGGATCGATCACGGAGCGTTCTGTGTTTACATACGTTAGTGTTAAATTTTACGCACCAAGAGAGACCAACGATTATCGCGCAACGTAGCCATATACAATGTAACAAAAGTTATACATAATCCCGAGGAAAGAGCTTGGCTTTGTCTACGATGAAACCATTTTAGAGATTAAAGTGAACTTTATATTCCGTCCTCTCCTTGTCACTAAATAAAACATGCAACTCCAGACGTTTCGTGCCTTCTTACATCTCGCCTGTTTCAATCTCTCGACGGAGAGAATTTTTTTCTAATCTACTCCGACGGTTGACCACGGAATTTCGCAGCATCCTCCAGTTCGCGTTTGAATGCACCGGACAGTCGGTAAGTACGAGAACTCAGTTACTGGTAACGTGAGCGCCAACGCCCGCCATCTGGCGGCACGCCCGGCAGTGACGGCGCAATACAAGGTGTGGCGAGGGTCTCAGTAGAGGTGCGTGGTGACTAACGAAAACACAACAATTGTCAACGAACGAGTTATTCGGGGCAGCCGGTTTCACGCGAGTTTTTTTTCCCCAGAGCTTACCATGTCGGTGGAGAAGCTGGAGTATCACAGGGCGTCCAGTGAGTAATCGATCGAACTTCGATCGCGTCCACCTTGTAACCTGCGATTGTGAATTGATTACACGCAGTATGCGAGACCACTCCTTCGTTCTTCGCAGCGTCTTTTCCTTTTTCTTCGTTCTTTCTCGATATTTGTGTTGATCAATAAGGCGACGGAGGGATTTGAGCTTTTAATTGTTTCTAGATGACTCGATTATCAACATACTTCGTTCACCTGCGATAACCATGTCATTCTCAATTGTCACCTTTTTTGTTACATTCTATTCCCTTCTTATGCACTACTTCTTGTTATCTTAATTATTCATCCGAATTATTTCTGATCTCATTGACAGATGCCGTTGTTTTTGGCGGGGTACTCACGTACGTGGCTGGAGTATTCCTAGTGATGGCATTCACAAGGTAAGGATACTCATTCTCTAGAATTAAATAATAATGTCGATGCTATATTTTCTGTTCAGCATTTCTGCTCTGTGTGTACATCTGAAGGCTGCTTTCACCAACCTCCAGTTGTAATGTAATCAGTGAAAAAATTGTCAGTTTAATGATTAACCATTAATAGAAAAATACAATTTTTGCATTATCATCAGTTTAAACCAGAAATTAACCAGAAAATAAAAAGGCTCAGGCCTGAGCAATGGATTATCAATCTCTCTCTCTCTCTCTCTCTCTCTCTCTCTCTCTCTCTCTCTCTCTCTTTTCCTTTCTTCTCCATCCCTCCCTCATACTCTGCTCATTTTCAGTCCATATTGGATCGAGTCATATCAGGAGACCTTCAGCAACTTCAAGCACATGGGCCTCTGGGAGTATTGCTTCGAGCAATTCCGTTACCCGTCTTATCAGTTCGACAAGCAGTTCGACGGTTGTCACCACATCTTCTCGCAGGAGTACTACGTCATACGGGAGTGGCTGTTACCAGGATGGCTCATGGTCGTGCAAGCATTCACCACACTGGCCTTGTTGCTGTCATTCTTCGCGCAAATCACGATTGTCATGGTCCTCATTCGCTGGCCGTTGACGCTCGTTCTGCGTTACGAGTGGATCTTCTCGTCCATCGCCTTCATGTGCGACGCTCTTGCTGGTAAGCGAGCTCGAGCTCGAGAGAGACAGAAAAAGAATTATATATGGAAAATCAGATCTTAATCATCGTGCGTTTCAGGCGCCCTGCTCTTCCTGGCGGTGTCGATATTTGGCGGACAGTGCTGGCGTCGCGACTGGCTGATGTATCCGAACTTCAACCACCTGTCGTGGTCGTACGGTCTCGCGGTAATATCCTTCATGTTCCACACTTTCGGCGCGTTCTTCGTCTATCTGGACGCGCGGACGGGCTACCGGCTGCGCAAAGAATCGCGCAACCTCGTCATGCAGATGCAACCGCAGTCTCACCAGATACCTCGAAGCGGATACGTCTAAATCGCGTGTCCCCGCGGAGACGAGGCGACCTCGCCGATTCCGATCTTTCAGCTCCGTCGAGCGAGCGAAAGATAGACAGAGAGCCTTCTCTCTCTTTCTCGGAAGAGAGACACAAGCACGAGTTTGATCCGTCCAATTTGATCTTGCTAATTTTTCTACAAAGAACCTCACGAGGAAGACGAAGACGCGACGAGGAATCTCGTCGCGATTTCAACGTGCGTTACTGAGATTATCGTTCTTTTTTTATTCGGGTACGTTTTCTCTCTCTCTTTTTTTTACGCTGATTTATTTACACCAAACTCACTCGTCGATCCGTCCACATTTGTTACGTCCGGCTATTTAGACGATGCGTAATTTATAATATATATTCTATGAAGAATTTATACATCACACGCGTCGATATACGTGTATACTAATAGAAGTATTGTAAAGGAAACTGTAAAATAGAGTTAATGTCGTATCATCTGTGAACTCACGTGAACGACGAAAATACAGGCGATATTAACGAGCGAATAAATATCCCTCCTTTTCACAAGAAGAGAAATGGCGAATTGTCGCGAGGGAATATTCTTTACTCACCCGGCACGTGGGCGCGAGACGCGACGTCCAGCACGTAGCGCATGGTGTCCGGCGGAAGGTTGGCGTCCAGCACCAGGAGACTGGCTTCTTCGAGGTGCGAGCGGCGCTCTCGTATCAGCTCCGGAACGATCGCAGCGAGAGACTCCATCTCGCAGACGCAGAAGCAGCACTCTCCCTTGCTGTTCAACACCACCGTGGACCTAGGTGACGGGAACAGCGAGTGTTCAGGATTGTCGGCGAAATTGAGGTTCCCCAGGTTCAACAAATCCGTGATCAGAATCCGTACCTCGCAGTGATCTCGTCCGGCAGCCGCTGCACAGTCTCTGCCGCGGCCCCGAGGCTGTCGAGTATGGCTTTCCCATGTTCGTCGTCACCAACGACGGATATTAGTCGCGTATTCTTCAAGCCGAGCTTCACCAGCCCGTCGGCGACGTTCCGGCCGACCCCGCCGCAGCTGCGTCTGCTATGCCCGTCGTGCGTTCTGCCGTCATTCTGCAACAAGCGATTGCCAGGTCGATTCGAAAGTCTTTTCCCATAAATACTGAGCAAGTCGGTACGAACGGAAGAAGTTTTCACGCAGAGATATGTCGGCAAATGAGATGATTGTTTTCAAACAGGAGAACTCGACGAGTGAGATGTTTTCAAATAGAAATATGTCGACAAAGTGAAGTGAAACTTTTCCCAATAGAAAACACCGGCGGATGAAGTGTCTTCAAATAGAAATATGACGATGAAATGAAATGTTTCCAAATAAGAAAAGCCGACAAATAAAATGCAACGTTTTCAAATAGAAAAAAGAAAAACCGACAAGTGAAATGTTTTCAGATAGAAATATGCCGACAAAATGAAATGAAACGTTTACAAATGGAAAGAAAAAATCGAACGAATGAAAGATGTTCGAATGAAAATATTCCGACAAATGAAATGAAAGATTTTCAAACGGAAATACGCCGATGAACAAGATGTTTCCAAATAAAAATACGCCGCCAAATAGAAATATGCTGAAACAAATGAAATGTTTTCAATAAGAAAAAAAGCCAACAAATGAAATATTCTTTTCAAATGGAAACCTGCTGGGACAAATAAAACGGAACGTTAACAAATGGAAAGAAGCCGGCAAATGTAACGTATATTCTACGGAAAGAGGCTTTGGAATCCGACATCTTTCTCGGGGGTGCGCTTGGATTTACGACGTCGTCGGTGACTCAGATCTGCTTGAATTTACGCGGAACTGCGCGCCACTCTCGGGGATAAGGTACGGAAAGGTCGGCGGAATCTCAGACGGGAGCCCGCGGGGAGGAGCGAGTGCGCCCCCGAGAAAACGTCTGTCTCTCGTCGCGAGAGAGGTTCTTGTCGCGGCGTGACACCGTTTTTGCCCCGTCTCGTTGGAACGATTCAATTATACCTCGGGCATTCGCTCCCGGGCTCACGTGGCTGAGGGTGCTTAAGTCGAGCCGACGAGGAGGATCCGTCTGCTCGTGATAGCTAAGCCCGGACAGAGCTTATCCCTTCGGCCCATTCTTATCTACTCCTACCTATCTATTAGTATATAACCAATTCGTATTATCTCCGACGACATTAAACTCGGCATTACATAGTTCTCTCTCTCTCTCTCTCTCTCTCTCCACCGTATTCGCCGGTAACATACGGCCGGACGCTCTTATCTCTCACCGGTTTCTTCTACCCCGGCTCTCTACTTTTATACGTTCAGCGCTGTGGCAGGACCTCCGGGCACCCCGACACACCGCCCGTTGATTGAACTCGTTACTACCAGATAACGCGGCCAGATGCCCGGCTATCAGTCGGCGATCTCGAGCCGTAAAACACGGTTCGTTTGACGCGCGAGGAATTATTGTTCCTGCGCGAGGGTGCGCGTAATGACCGCGTTTCAAACGTCATGGGAACGTGGGCGGCCAACTTTCCCCTCGGACCACTTTCACGTCCCAATTCTGATCTTTCAAGAGATAAAATAATCACGAGAGGCCTCTCCGGAGAGACCTATGAGAGGATTAATAAAAGAAGCCAGTGGGAGGAGAAAGTATCGCGGACTGTTAGGGGCAACTTCGCCACCCCGCCACGCTCCGCCCTTGCGCTCTTCCCTCCTCGTCTCTCGCGATGCCTCCCCGATCGTCGCGCTGCTGTCAGTCCGGTTGCCTACCTCGGGCGCTATTCACGGCCACCCTCCGGCCTGCGGTCATCCCTTCGGTATCCTTCGTCGTCTACGGGGCAGATAAAGAGAACAGATATTAAGAGAGCGAGGGAGGGAAGGAGGCAAGAAGCGAAGGGAGAGCAATCAAGAGAGAGAAAGAGAGAGAAACGAGCGTATTCCGACTCACAACATCGTATCGCCTCTCATGCGCCGGGAGTTCGGGGCGAAGAGGAGCGTCGGGCAGCGGCAGCGTGGCCGCGGCGGCGTCGTCGCGACGCTCACGAGCGCGCACGAGCTCTCGACTCTGCGTGATCCGTGGCAGTGAGGAGCGCGTTGCGTCGCGTCGCGCCGCTCCGCGAAGCGAGGCGAGCGAACAGCGTCGTCGTGCAGATAGAGCGAGAGAGCGCGAAAAAGAGTGAGATATATATATATATATACATATATATATATAGAGAGAGAGAGAGAAAGAGAGTCAGAGAGAGAGAACGACATGCGCCACGGCCGCTGGCGGCAGCCTTGCGAGGTGTCGACTGAGAGCGGAAGGACCAGCACGAGGACCAAGACGAGGAGAACGACAATTACGACGACGAGAAGGAGAACGGAGACGAGGTTGAAGAAACTGACACCGTGAGCGCCGGCGGTGAGGGGGCGGAGGCCGGGAGGCGCGCTCTCCGACGTGGTGAAGCGTTGCCGAGGACTGTGGTGCAGGGCGAGGGGACGCATGACGACGGGAGCGCGTCGGTCGGTGGCATGAGCGACGCGGACGACGGCGCCGAAGAATACTCTCGCGGCGATGCCCATAGCGGAAGCGGCACCGCTGTTGCGACGACGACGACGACGACGACTGTGTTCCTCGTGCACGCCTCGTGCAGCAGCGCCGCACGGTCGGCCCGATTGACGACGCCCGGCACAGAGAAGTCCAAGTACCCGGTGCACGATCGCGCCCCCGCTGCGTGCTGCACGTAGGTCGGTCGGCGATATGTGATTGCGCGTCGTAGAAGGCGCCCGAGGTCAGTAGCAACGAGACGCCGCGCGGTCTACCGAGCGTTGTCTACCCTCGCGTGCGCGTTCCCTTCGTTCCAGTGCGACCAGGACGAAAATTAGACATCCCTGTCGGCCCCTCTGAGGGAAGAAGCGTCCTTCCCGGGGAAGGAAGCAGAGGAACTCTCTCCGAAGACGAGAATTCCCTCTTTGATCCTCCACCTCCTCCTCCGAGGGAGAGAGAGAGAGAGAGAGAGAGAGAGAGAGAGAGAGAGAGAGGATTTCCCGGAAAGACGGGAACTCGCTTCCGCAAGGACTCGAGACTGAGAGAGAAAGATATAGAGTGAGGATCTCTCTTCGGAGATAACGCGCGTCCTTTCTGTTCCTGACGGTGATCGAATCAAGTCGGATATCAGTGCGTGTCTCGTCCTCCCGACGAAGCGCGTCCTCATCGCGGAGCAGATCTTCCGATCCCGGCCGCTGCTGTGTCATGAACCACCGCCTCATGGTCGCCTCGCCTCGCCTAAGGATGTGTCGTGCGGGGGTGACGGAGCGCGCTCCTCGGGGCCGCGTCCTCGAGGACGCGCGCCGCGACGGCCGAGCGTGAGGTCGGCCGTCGATCTCGCGCGCTGTAGTGTGTATTACACGGCGCGCCGAAGGACGAGTGGTGTCGCGCGTTCATCCCGGTACATGGCGGCATATTCCCCGTCGACGTTAGCACGCGCCGGCGAGAAATAGGACGAAGAGAGGAGACGAGCGACGGATAAATTCCTTCGGGAAGGTCGGGAGAAAGAGATTGCATAACGCCGAGCTCCCTCTCCCTACATCCGTCGCCACCTTCCAACCCTCCGCCGCTTCCTCCTCGTCTTCTCCTCCGCTCGCCCCTCCTCCCGCGTCAGCACGCGCGCGCCCTCCTCGCGCCTCCTCCTCGTCCTTTTTCTCTCCCTCTATCTTTTCGCGCCTCGATCGACATGTCACTCGATATCTAATTAAAGGCTGCTCAATAATCTTTTTTTATCGCGCCCGTCGTCCGCCCGTCGTCCTCGCAGAAGGCGCGGCGGTAGTTCGACTCCCCGAGAGAGAGAGCCCACGGCAGAGTGCGAGTCCGGCGAGGTCCGCGAGAGATCGCACACACGCGGCAGGCATCATCGCCGCCTTCGGCATCGATCCGCTTCTCTCTTTCTCTCTCTCTCTCTCTCTCTCTCTCTATCTCTATCTCTATCTCTCGGTCCCTTTTTCTTCCGTCACGGAATTATGTAAAGCAGGCTGTGAGTACTGGACGCCGGCCAGGACGTTGACAGCTCTCGTCCGCCGACCGAAATCGCTTCTACGTAGGAGAACGAAAGGAGGTAACAACCAAGCGTTGTGTCCGCCCGCCTTTCCTTCTCTCACCCCTCGCTTTCCCCTCTTCCCTACCCTCTCTCTCTTATGCTTCTCTTCGCCACCCTCTCTCTCCCTCTCTTTCTCTCTCTTTTTCTTTCTCTCTCCGTCTGTCTCATTCCCCGTGCCTCTCGGCTCGCTTGTTCGCCGCGTGTGTGTCGTTCTAGGAAGAGGGAAAGAGAGGGAGAGAGAGAACGTTCTAGCGCGCAGGGTTTAAACACGATCGATGGGCCCTTACCGCTCTCGTCGCTCTTCCGTGTTTTCGTTACAATGCGCCACTCGTATATACTCGCGCGCTCGCATGCAACGCGCTGTGTGCCGATGCATGGAAACGGGAGCGCGTTTTGGTGCATCGCAAAAGAGAGAGAGAGAGAGAGAGAGAGTGTGTATGGGTCGAGTCCTCGACGACGGGACGCGCCGTTCTCGGCCTCGGGGAACACGTCCCGAGGATCCCGCCGCCACGAGAGCTCTTCCTCTCCTCTCGCCGTCGAGTGCCATCCTCTCCGTTCTCTCTCGCCTGAAACAATAACTCTGCGTTTATTCTCCGCTTCTTCTTGCCTCTTTTTCCCGCGTGGAGTGTCGTAGACCACACTTCTCTCTTTTTCTCTCTTTCTTTATTCTTTTTCTCGTTCTTCTTGTTTTTCCTTGCGCTGGAACACGTCGGCTGTATTTTCTCGCGTCCACGTCGCACGCACCCTCCGATTTTCCTCCCCCCTCGTCCTCCCTCCCTCTCGCCCCGCGAGCCGGCGACTCTTCCGTGGCGATATATAACCCAGCAGGCGCATATCCTCTCTCTATCTGGCGCGATTTATCTCCGTCCCTCCTCAAAGGAGCTACATAGAGCTAGGCTTGAGCGGAGGATCGATAGATAGAATCGCCTATCACACGCTACAACTGTCAGAAAGAAATACAATTCGCCGAGGCGCGCACGCTAGCTTAGCCGCTCCCCCGCCGTTGCCCCCCTCCGGCTCGAAATGCACGCACGTTGTGAGGAACGGCTGCTCCGCGCCGAGTGTCCCCGTTAAAGCGAGGTTCGTGAGAAAGGAGAATCCGAAAATCCACAATCAAAGTCCGAAGGAGTGGGAGAGAAGTCTTCTCTTCCTGCATAGAAAAAAAATTAGCATCAATTCAACGCGGGAAAAGATGTTCGGTTGGATTTACCGAACGGTGGTCAAACGCGTTTTGATTGGAGGAAACCGAATTTCTGGATACACGGAAACAAATTAGTCTCAAATCAAGAATAAATATTCTCATATATAAGCAAGGATATTATAATCTTCTTAGAAGATTTTTAGTCTTGAATTGAGTTCAAGTAATATTTGATCAATTAATATAAATTTAATCAGTCTCCTAAGAAGATTATGATATTCTTTTATATATTTTATTCTTGATTTAAGACTCTTTTTTTCGTAAGGACTAAATTTTTGCCATGAGAACCGGAAATTCAGTTTTCTTCAACCGAAACGCATCTGATTCGCTCATTATCTACTAAAATCAACCAAACTTTTTTCCGTGAAGACCCATTTTTTCTCATGTATAAGCGAGAATATATAATATATGAAAATAAAATTTGTTTATAGAAGAAATTGAGTTCTGAAAGTATTATATTCAAGTTGTTATTCAAGAATAATTTTCCTTGAGGGGAAAAAAAATACTGGAGAGAATATCTTCAAACATTTCTTCATACAAGCAAGTTTTATTTTCATATAAATTACATATTCTCGCTTATATATTAGAATATGAGTCTTGAATTGATACACGAGGAAAAAGGATCGCTTGAATCAACTTGACAATGAACGGACCAAACGCGAACTCGATCAAAGGAAATCAGACTTTCTGATCCTTGAGCAAGCCGTATTCGGTTATCAGAACCAGATATTCCGTTCCCCCCAACCGCATGACGTTTGCTTCGTTCACCGTCACGTTAATTTAACCGATCTGTTTTTCCACGCAGAAATCCAAGAAAAGAAACCATAAACCGACTGTACATTTCGGAAAGAGGGAGGGGGCGCAAGGTGGCAAGGAGGGAAGCGCATGTACAGCGGTAGCGCAGTAGATCCGACGGGGCGGCGGGGGCGAGAGGGGGTGGAATGCCCACGAGGAAAATCACAGTTTCTCTTTCGTGTTTCCCCGCAGGAGGACCCACGGTGCGTTTGTCCGCGTGGAGGCCGCCGCAGAGACGCGCGGACAGAGATCGCGCGGCCACGCACGGTGTCCAGCAGCACCACAGAGGCGGGCGCGACACACGTGAAAAAGAGAAAGGAAGAAAGGGGGAGGTGGAGGAGTACCATGAACGATCTTCCGGTGCGGCGGTGCACGTCGTGCATCGCGTGACTCGCCGCCGGTAGGCTCGATAGGCGCACACAACACAAGTAGGACCGTCACCACCCTCCC